TTCCCCCCCCCCCATTCTGATTAAAAATTATAATTGTACGACACGAGGTGATCAAATGCGCTCGTTGAGAGTGACTGTTTGTGCATTAATCTGAGATTATTCGTGCGGTCTCAGGGACATGTGCTGATTAATTGATCAATCCTGTCAATTCAGCTGATTAATTATCATTTATTATATCGGAATGAGCCTCGGGAGCGGCTATGGCGGCGGCCTGGCCCTCACTGCTTCAACCCCCACAGCTTGCTCTTTATTTTCCTACCCCCCTTCGATGTAAGTCAGAGTTAAAGTAATTCGTTGTCGTCGGAATGACGCACAGTGATGCTTGCGCAGGACCAGGGGGATAACGTTAGAACCGATGGGCTCTCTGTTGTTGTTCGCTTATGTCTGATGTGTGCCGAGTTTGGGGGATACTGAGACGCAGCATCAGGGCGCAGGACCAACGGGGGAGTGCATTGCCAGACGAGCTCGTCGATAGGGGCGCCGGTCTCATATTTTTTTCCTTTCCAATGCCAACACTCGGCAAATCTGAAAATTTCGGTTTTTTGGGAAGGGATAAATCATTTTTGCCGCAGGGGTTCGAGTGTGATATTTTTAGTTGTTTAGTTTGATTGAAACGATAATTGTTTAAATTAGTTCAATTGTCAGTTTATGACAATCAATTATTTTCAAATAATGTTCAGGGAAACGTTGGGACAATGTTCAATTCAATGAATCGTTAAAGCCAATTTTAAATACACCGTCATAAAAATTCCATTCAGAAGCAAATTGCTAATTTTTTTTTTATCACGAAGATTTTGGTTTTTGAGTCGCGAAAATCATTTTATGACACTAGGCCCGAAAAATGGCTATTGTAACCGGGCGACGTGAGGTTTTTAAACCTAGTGACATAAAATGTTTTATGTCATACGATAAAAGTATTATCTGACGAATGTCACTTTATTATCACATGAGTCAGATAATACTTTTATCGACTGATGACATAATAATGCACTATTTTGTGATACCTGTCTCAAAAGTGTACTTTTCGAAACGGTTTAGTGCGCGTAAAGGGGTTATTTTCCGCACGGCGCACTAAAACAACTATTTTCATCATAAAAAACATTTACGCACTAATAATAAAATACGTTATGTCTTCGTCGAAAATATTTCCTGGGCGAATAATGAGATCTGGACGAGCCAAAATTAATTTAAAAAAAAAAGTTGAAGAGCGAAAAAAAATGTTGAAATTGCCTCCAATTATTGGCGATTAAACATCGTCCTCTTTTTTTCATTTCCAACGAGAAGATAATTTTCGTTTGAAATCAAGAAGAGATTGAGAATGGTAATGGGAATAGCGAGGGGTAGAAATGATAATTAAAGTCCTCTTCTTTCAGAATTTAATTTTTTTTTATTCAAAATTTTATCGTCGAAGAAAATGAAATGATGAATCGTAAAATTCAGGACAAATTTCACTTCTTCTTGTGCATTTCTAGGTCACTGGGGGATTGATGTAAACAACATCGAGGATTTTGGGAGAAGGGACGTGGGCGATTATTAATGAATCATTTAGCCGCTCCACATGCCCCCCCAGTCCCTTGATCCACTTCTTCATGAGATACGATATAAAAATCCTGTCATCGTGTCACGAGGGGTGCGGGTAACCGTAGGCTCGGACCAGGGATTTAAAAAAGTTCCCTCGGGCATGTAGAATTTGTTCAGAATGACTGGCGGAAGCGTTAGGATTGCCAAATTTATTTCTTCGTTAAAAACTTGTCAAAGTAAACTATTAAATCTGAATTATTTTCACTATTCGTTTATTCAATTATTCTTCTTTTATCTCATAATACTCAAGACGTAATTGCGACAGCCTCGGGTGATCATCCGGGAGTTTTCAATGTTCTAAGGATGAAAATGTCTTTTTTACGCAAATTAACTAATTAAATAGTCAATTTATTTATTTATTTATCGATTAACGATTTTTCCGATTGCAAAATCGTTCAATACTGTTATTTTTAAAGGAACAATAATTCAGAATAAATCGAGGAGGCTTATTCATCGACAGTTCACACTAATCAATAGAACAGAGATGAATCACACACAAAGTTATACCCAAACATCAAAGAATGACAATCAACGTTCTTTTATTTTACAAAAGTGGGGAAGAGGGTAAACTAAGCCATTCTCTTCCGTAATTAATTATTCCACAACAATGAATTCAAACAGAATTTTATTCTCGTTACCTTCTGAAAGCAAATGGAAGCAGATGAATTAAAGAAACAGAAACATGAGAAATAAATGGAAGAAAAGTGCTCGAAGATCCGCCGCATCAAGACGAGCCTTAAGCCCGCATTCCCCAGAAAATCAATGCTCCTGAGCATCTGTACCTCCTACTAGCCATCCCGATAACATGTTATCAATTGAGGTAAACTCAATTACCTTAAATGAAGTTTATGAAATTCGACGTCTGAGAGAAGTTGCGAAAATTGTTATCAAATTACCAACAAAAGTGGTGGAAAACTCGGTTATCTCCAATTCAGTGGTGAACAGAGATTGGATTAAGGATGAATAATAAAGCCATTCTGATATTAAAATTTCATCTGATTATTTTTTACAATCTATTACAGTGTTTCAATATAAATCGTTTATAGATAATTCTTAATGAGATTAACCGAATGATTCTCCTACTCTTGTAATTTATCATAAAAAATATATAATTATCGTTTTACGAGCTATTCGGTTAAGAGTATTCACTGATATTTACAATATATCGATCAAAATGTTGCTTGAATCGATCGTAAACCCGCCTAATTCACGTGGATTTCAAGTTTATCCAGGATTTACATCTCCACTCGTTGAGGAAAATATACTAAATAACATAATAATAATTAAGAATGATAATAAATGGTCGCAATTTAGGGTTGTCACACCACAGCACAGCTGTGTCTCATCGTAACCACGTAAATTGCGGTCAGCAAGGGCACTTAATCATCAATAAACAATTAATAATAATATTAAGCCTCATGGCAATCTCAGTAGTCTCACATTTCCCAATCTACATAATCCACCCCATCCAGTGTCGCAAGATTTACTCAATCTAATCATGAAGAGAGAAAAAAATAAATAAAAAACATCGCGGACGCATCCCCATGCCATTCATCATTCATGATCCTGTTTTTTAAATTCTAATTGTAACCAACAAAATGCTATTCGAGGAACTGAGGAATTATATTCATACGATCCCCTATTTTCACTGGCTCCTAACACTGACGATTGCATCAATTAAAGGGAAAATTATCAGCTGAGTTTATTTCATAATTGATCAATTCAATGTCACATTTTTTTTCAAAACACTCGGAAAATGCGGAGAAAAAATTATGAACATTCGTAGTAAAGTGAAAAATGAGATCGATCTATTAAACTATGTACAATGTGTTCATACTGGAATTCTATAAGACACTCTCATTCCTCAGTTTAACGTTAACGTAATGATAATCACATGTTTACTAGTTCGACACAATTTTTATCGTGTCACTTCGAACGATTAAAAGCGCTGATACGTAATTCAAAAAATCTCAAAGGTTTGATTTGTCCTCAATGACCTCCTCGGAACAGTTTCTAAACCATAAAAGAGAAAAAGTGAGTGTAAGAGGTGTTGCAGCCAGCGATGAAGCAGTTACTGACACTGATTACTGATAAATGACGGTGATTACTCCGACTGATTAAAAGTCTTCACTCGATTAAAGGAAAAAAAAAAATAACACGTGTTAATTTGTCTCGATAGCCTTGAGAATTAATGAAATTACGTTTGGGGAAAGCATCGGGGCGATTTAAGCAGTATGTCTGATGAATGCCTGGGAACCAGTGGCTTCGTTATCGTGCTATTAATTAGGTAATTAAACCCTTACAACCTTCTTAACGAGGCGATACTCAGGGAGCTGCATTTTGCTTTTCTCGTGGGTTGAACTGACATTGGAGCAACGAGTACTTCGTCTCTAGACGACGAATCTGACCCACCATTGCCCAGTTCCTGGAAGAAAACGTCTCAATCATCTTAAATCAAGTATTTTTCAGGCACCATTCCACCAAGGATTGCACACACTCCTGAATAATCATGCCTATTAAAATGATATTTGACATTTTAATTACTTACTAGACTTACGACGACAATCATCCTCATACTAGTGTTACGCATTCAAAGAGAATCAATAATTAAAGTGGAGAATCATGGAGGTTATGCAGGGAAAAAAGTGCAATTTATTCAGAAGCCAAAAAAAAAATCAAGCCAAAAATAAAAAGTTGATAAAAAATATGTGAGAGAGCAAAAGAAAAAAAATCGAATGGATAAAGAAAAAAAAGCTTGATGCGGAATTGAGTACTTTTTAGTTGATAAAAAGGACTGGAATAAAAGTTGAACTGAAGCGAAAAATCCGAGCCCAATCAGGCTGTTAACTGAATCAACTAACATTAATATTGTTACAACTGGCCAATCGCATCTGCGCAAGCTGCTGACTCGCTGGTGTCAGGCTGTGGGTAGATCCAAAGGGTGACATCATCGTCGACATGGCCCTTTTCAATTTGCTCGGTGTCTTATTGAAACTGAATGCTCTGCCAACCTTCATCTTGGTGCGCGTAGCAAATCTAATTATCAGATTGAAATGAGTGTTATTAAATTGCCGATGAAATATCGGTGTCAATCAACTCCGAGAATCATTTATCACTGATTATTTCCACAATTCAGACTCAACATTTCGATTAGACATGCCACAAAGCCACTCAGTTAGCTCTCGATATCTCTAAAACGAGAGAATGCGAAAAAAAAGTCCAGACGAAACAAAAAAAAAAAAATTGTGCTTCCACACATGCTATTGAGTAGGAACACATACGGATCCATATACTCCAGGTAAAAATTATGAAATAGGCTCCTGTAACCAAACGTCATGATGTTTTCCCATTATTGTATCCGTACCCATGCAGAAAGAAAAATAAAATACATTAACAATGATTGCGGTAGAATAAATTGAAGACAGAGAAAAATAATAGTGTCAAAAATAATGTGAAAATTGGGAGAATCTCCCTCGACACTGACATCACCAAGCCTGATGTTTACAACATTAATCATTGAATTATCGTGTTTATTGAGCTACTCACTTAAATGCTTTGCTCAGTGTTCCTAGAGCAACGTCACTAGTATCAATCTCCAGTTGGTGAGAGTCCAAGCTAATGAGGAAAGTGTCCTGAAGAGAATGAAACCAATTATGCCCGAGTTCCGACGAACAGAGACCGAATAAAAAAAATGATAATTCACTCACTGCATCAGCTTTGCAGACAGTATTGGCCATTTGTCTGCACAACGTCTTGAGATAATTATTCTTACTGACTTCCTCATCGGTAATTGTGAATGAAAATAGTTTCTCCTTCAACTCCTGATTGCTCCTGACCATGAGAGCAAATACTTTCTGGCATTCTGAATGAAATAATGAACGAACAGGTCATTTTACTTCAGAAATTATTCAATTTAGGCGAAATTTTTGGTAAAAAATGCCAATTTCAGTGGAATAACTCACCCTCTGTTTCACGAATATCCACGACCTTCTTAATAGTGCTGAGGGAGAGCATTTTAATGTGCTTGTAGGGCTTTCCCTGGCTGAGTTTAGCTGTGTGCAGACCATTAGCCATGTTGGGGCTCTTGAGTGAGTTGAACGCCTTGGAGCGTTTCTTACAAATTTCCAGTGTGTCAGTGAACAAAAAAAGGACCAAATGGTCACCCCTCCCACTCAACCCCTCACCAAGCTCCATAACATCACATTTACCGATGAATGATCTGTGCGACGAGACTAGATGCGGTGGACAATTGTCAATTTCATTGAATATATCAAACATGACAAGTTGTCCCTCAGTTTTTCTCTTGTCCTCATTAATATGCGTCATAACTTCCTTAATACTGCTGATTGCCAATTCCAAGGCACTGTGGTCTGGATTATTCTTACTCGTATGCTTAAGAATATCGGTTAATAATAGGCTAATACTGGGCAATCGTTGTACAGGCTTTATCATCAATTCCTTGAGACTCTGCCTGCCGCACTCGGGCTTTGTCTGGCAGATCTTGAGGAAGGCGTGAAAACGCGGTTTGTTCTGGTCACACTGCTCCAACATCTCCTTTGTATTCTCGAAGAAATTCACGTAGGGGGGATAGGTGTCCACCAGGTCTGGGGCGTACTTTAAAAATATGTTCCCTATGCTTGTGTCCTCGGTCCAGTGGGCTGCGCAGTAACGGAGCTCCTCCAGCATTTTTTTGTGGACCTCGTAGATCGGGGGAAAGTTGCCGAAGATTATTTTTGCTTCTGTACTGTTTAGGAGTTCGTTGCTGGTCTCTATGTAGTCCTCCAGGGGAGATTTGAATAACTGGGGAATGAAATAGTAGTTTAGTTGGCTGTTCCTTCTAATTGGATTGGAGTTTTGAATGAAAGTGAAGTGGGACGAGAGGTTGAGGTGATTTTAGGCCAGAATTGATGGATTTTAGGAGAAATTTTTGGCAAAAAATGTCAAGTTCAATTCTCTAATTTCATTTCATTAATTAAAAATGGGAATAAATTATCATCTTGATATTACCGTCATAATTGTACTGAGAATGCCAACATAATTAGATTCTATCTGCGCAACAGGTAATTTTACTTCAGAAATGATTCAATTTAGCTGAAATTTTTGGCAAAAAATGTCAAGTTCAATTCTCTAATTTCATTTCATTAATTAAAAATGGAAATAAATTATCATCTTGATATTACCGTTATAATTGTACTGAGAATGCCAACATAATTAGATTCTATCTGCGCAACAGGTAATTTTACTTCAGAAATGATTCAATTTAGCTGAAATTTTTGGCAAAAAATGTCAAGTTCAATTCTCTAATTTCATTTCATCAATTAAAAATGGAAATAAATTATCATCTTGATATTACCGTCATAATTGTACTGAGAATGCTAACATAATTAGATTCTATCTGCACAACAGGTAATTTTACTTCAGAAATGATTCAATTTAGCAGAAATTTTTGGCAAAAAATGTCAAGTTCAATTCTCTAATTTCATTTCATCAATTAAAAATGGAAATAAATTATCATCTTGATATTACCGTCATAATTGTACTGAGAATGCTAACATAATTAGATTCTATCTGCACAACAGGTAATTTTACTTCAGAAATGATTCAATTTAGCAGAAATTTTTGGCAAAAAATGTCAAGTTCAATTCTCTAATTTCATTTCATCAATTAAAAATGGAAATAAATTATCATCTTGATATTACCGTCATAATTGTACTGAGAATGCTAACATAATTAGATTCTATCTGCACAACAGGTAATTTTACTTCAGAAATGATTCAATTTAGCAGAAATTTTTGGCAAAAAATGTCAAGTTCAATTCTCTAATTTCATTTCATCAATTAAAAATGGAAATAAATTATCATCTTGATATTACCGTCATAATTGTACTGAGAATGCTAACATAATTAGATTCTATCTGCACAACAGGTAATTTTACTTCAGAAATGATTCAATTTAGCAGAAATTTTTGGCAAAAAATGTCAAGTTCAATTCTCTAATTTCATTTCATCAATTAAAAATGGAAATAAATTATCATCTTGACATTACCGTCATAATTGTACTGAGAATGCCAACATAATTAGATTCTGTTTGCACAAGTTCCAAAACGACCTGATGCCTCGGGGAGAGATTCTTGCGTGCAGAGTCCGTCGTGACAGCCTCGACCTCTGGAATATCTATTATCGATGAAAAATGCATTCTTATTTCAGGAAAGATGTGAATCAGTAAAAAAACAGTTAATAATCATTAATAGAATGATATTGACGATTGGTTTACTGACCATCGAGCATTTGCTTGTCAGGACTGGCAGTACAGTCCAAAAAACTCCCGCTGACGCTCAGGTGGCCGGCATCACTGATGCTGGAACGTCTTTTGTGAACTGCTGGGGAGTCCGCCCCATTCTGAACTAGGCTTGAGAGGGTCTCTGCCAGGCGTTTACGTTTTCTTCTTGTCGATGCTGTCGTCGGTGTTGCCGCTGATTGGCTCTCCCTTCTGGATGAGGCACTTGGGGACATCACTGATTCTAGATACTGGGGGAAATGAGAAATTCGTTAGGTCAAGTTAATAGTAAATTTTTTAGAGGGTGAATTAGATAAATTAATTCAATCTGAAAGTTAATCTTGACTTTTTAGCGAATATTTCTAGATTGTTAGGAAACAATGGCATTTTTGTAAATTAAATTTCGTATTATTGAGTGATAAATTAATTGTAGAGTCTAAATTCTGACAAAATTCACTTGAAATTCAGGTTTTAATGAAGCAAATCCAAGAGACAGCCGAAAAATTTAATTCAATTCAAATGGTAGTATAAAGATATGAAAAATACAGAGATATAATTATGTACATTAACATATAAAGATATGATAATGCGGCAGCCTTTAATTTTCGGTAAACATTTAAACGTGTTAACGAAGTCTTATATTTGCTCTTCAAAATTAGTCTCATATCTATTACTTCAGAATAGAAAAATTCTGGCAATAAATTCCCCTATCTCAACTGATCAATTTTAAACTGAAATTAACACTTCAAATTCCCCATTGGGATTAAACAATTAATCTCAAGAACTTACATCTTCAAAACGATACTCCTTCTCATCCGCAGCGCCCTCATTCTGCACAGACGTCCAGAACCACTCAGCCTTAACAATATGTGCACGAACAGACGCAAGATCCGGCAGTGCATTGACATTGGACTCATCGACAACCTGCGAAAATGCCGAATAAAAATTAAGCATTAACCCAGGAAAATCCCAAACATCACCCTCGACAATCACAATCGACAAAGACACAAAGACTTTTTGTTCACGACACCACGAGACCCTGAAATGGGAAAATGCTGCCTCCACCAACGATCAACACCAGAATTAACTCGATAAAAAAAATACCGTAGGGAATTTCTTGTCACAAGTCCTCAAACTCTGTCTCAACTTTTCCATTTTCACCTCCCTCTCGTGGCCCCCCTTCGAGAAATTTGGGAGAGCCCCGGAGGAGAAATTCTGCGAGAACTTGGGCTGAAACTCCTTGGAGGGATCGGCCCTCCCGTCGAGTTGGCTCGAGCGTTTGGAGACGAAAGGAAAATTGACATTATCCAGAATTGAGAGCAAGGAAGGTGATCCCCTGCGCCCCCTCTGCTGGTAGTGGCCCCAGGGCTTCCTCTTGCGACTGAATTTCCTGGGGTTTAGGGTCGACGAGTCGACGGACAGATCCTCGTCCTCACTTCTCTTCGATAAATTGGGTTGCGAGTAAATTTTGACGAATCGAGATTGATTCGACGTGTCCAAAGGCGGGAGGATGAAGCAGGACCTCGACCTTCGCCATCTGAAGGGCCTCCTGGTGGGGGCGTTCCTCTTGGAGTAGTTGACAGCACCCTCGTGACAGCCCGAAGCCTCTTTGAAGAGTCTCAGCCCCTCCGGGGATATCTGAGTCGACGTCGAGGTGACGGAGTCGTTGCAATTCAGATTCTCGTTGGAGGAGGACTCTTTGCCGGTGTAATCCATGCAAATGGCGGAGTCCTGACTCTGATTCTTCAGGGATTCGTTGATGGAGACCGATTCTGACGTCGAGGACGAGATCAAACTGTCCTGGGAGGTGGAGATCTCCTTGTCCTCCTCCCCCAGGGCTGTCTCCTGCAGGGGGAGCAGCTTCTGGGGGTCCGGGGGGACCTTGAACCCTGAGAACGACTGGGGCTTCTCCTCGTACAGGGGAGCGAACAGGTAGCAAGGGTGGTCAAAGCATATTCGAGAGTTTAGGGTCGATGTGTCCGCGATCTTGTAGCTGTTATTACCTAAATCCGTTACCTGAGGGGTTTTTTTGTAAAAGGGGTCGTGAATATCGGAAACCCCAGGTAGAAACACAAATTCAAGCAGAAAAAATCTAAATTTTGTTATAGATAGTAGAAAGTTCTGTGAATTTTCACATGAAGGACCAATTTCTTCTAATATTCTCCAAAAAGAAATCTTCACAGAACTTTTCGCCGTTGAATAATTGGCAATTTTAATTTTTTAATTGACTATCAACTAAATAATTGAGGATATGAAAGTGTGAATTGACTATTGAGTAAATTTTTCTGAGTGTCGTAAAAATATTTTTCGTATTGTTCAAGAATAATTCGGAATTTGAATAGTTAAATTGATGATTAATTTAATAATTGGCAATTTAAATGTTTTAATTGATTATTAACTTGATAATTGAGAATACGAATACGAAAATTGATGAGTAATATTAATAATTGAATTATTAAAACATTAACTTTAATTAAAATTCATAATTATGCCGATGTCTGCCGCTGAAAATGCCAAAGTGTGAGAAAATTATCTGGAAGAAATGAATTCTGAACTCACCACATGCGTGCAGTCTGGGTCGTCGATTTCCGTGGGCTCTCCACCCTGTTGCTGCAGTACCTCGACCATGTGCTTCTTCTCGTCATCTGGGAAACCGAAGAAGCACACGCGAGCGCCGTAGAACGGCTTGAGTTTGTGCTGAACGATCAGGTCGTCGTTGCTACCGTAGCTGGAGACATCGTTCTTGGCCTCCCAGAGGGCCAGGACCCAATTCATTGACATTATGGGCACTCTGAAGGTCACGGCGTATCTGTACTTCTCACCTCCGCAGCAGTTGGCGATGAGGTGGGTCACCTTTGCCCCCACCTCCTTGCGGATACTGCCGCCCATGCAGTGGATCATGTTTATGAGCCTTGTCTGCAATTTTTTTTTCAATTTTGGGAAGATTTTTTCATTTTTATTTTACTTTTTCATTTTTTTTTTTAGTTTATTTCTGTTTTGTGGAGGAAAATAAAAGGTAGAAGAAGGTTCTCATGAAAATTTTGTCATTTTATTCAGATTTTGAGATATTTTCCATAAAATGATGAATTAATTCTATTTTAAAAGAAGAATTAATTTTAGAAAGAGAAAATAAAATAGGCTTTTAAAAATATTGAATTTCTCTGGATCAAATGGTACGATTTGAATGTGTTTGGGCTCATTTCAAAGCTTGGAGAAAAACCTTGAAAATGATATGCAAATCGTTAAATTCCACTCTGCAGTTCCTAGGATATCATAAATTGAAGATGGTCCTTCCATTAACGAAGAAAAAACTTCATAACTTCTGCCAGACTTCAGTTTTTCGGCAATATCTCGAAACTGAGCAGAGTTAGACGAAATTCCATATGAATCTTTTTTGCAGCTCTCGTTCTCCTCCACAAAAGAGGTCCTTACAAAAATTTCGCTCACTCCCTTAGCTCCCGAGCTATTCCCCACCGACTGCCAAACTAAAATTCCTTCGAGAAAAATGAATCAACAGGGCCATTTAAAAAACCCTGATATCTTTTCAACCAGCGGTCCGATTTCCCCAAATCAACTTTCATTTCAAAGCCCAAGACCTACCCTTCAGAACGACGCCCAATTCGTTGAATTTTACTCAGACAATTTCGAGTAATTACCAACTAAACAACAATGAGTAAATGCATAAATCCAAATAATCACTCATTCACTCCTCACGTCTCAACAACAATTCCCCCTCTCAAATAAAAAAATCCTCACCAATTCGTCCTTCTTCCTGAACCCCGTGAACACGATGACAGTCCCGAGCATGGCCCTCGTGTACATTGGCCGATTGATGCTCGGCAACGACTCCTTCTTGTCCGCGAGCTGCAGGAGAGCAGTGGGCCCCAAAATTCTGTGAGCACTCTTGTGCAGTGTCTCATACTCGGGCCCCTCGAACTCCCTCAGAATGAAATAAGTGCAGTAAGCGGTGTCCTCGACATACTCAGCCCCAGTGAGGGACTTGAGAACAGGCACCCCAAACTGCTGAGCAGCAGTGCCAAGTGCTGGATCGCTGCTGGCAGCGCCCACCAGGCAAATTCGCTTCTTCCTCGGCACAACAGCACTCGCTGATGCCCAGAGAACACGAAAAAAAGCTGTTTACAACGACAGTTGAGCGCAAAAATCCCCCGACTTCCGCATAAACTCATGACCCTCTGACGTAATTTCGCAAGTCTACCACCGATACCTCAAGGACTCTCTCACTGTCAAGGAGCAAACGCCTAATCCGGGCAAATACCGACGCCCGATTCACTGAATTCGTCTCGAAAACAGCGTGTCGTCACCCCCCATTACCCCGATCCCCAAACATTCGGCTAATTGATCTCGTTATCCTCGAGATTGTGGCATTTTGGGTTAGATTCATTGGTTATTTTGATACATGCATACCCAATACCGTCGTCAGGGTCACCGAAACGTATCCTCTAACCCGAGGAAAATAAAGTCCCTCCTCTCGCCGCCCGCCCGCTCCCCGTCGCCGCGATCGATTCAACCCGAGATTTTTTCGAAAAGTCGTTTAAGGAATTCAGAAAAAAAATTACTCACGCTCAGTCTTGGCTGGCTCCTCACTATTTATATCGCTGATACTGCTGTGAACGCTGTGCTCTTCCATTTTGGCTTATTTCGTTACAACATCGGGACGCCCATGTATCGTTAGCACGACTATCGAGTACTTTCGCACGTTAATTTAAACTAGAATAACATGATATGTTGTTGTGGATTATTCGGGGGGTTTCTCTCGACGAAAAACATCACTTGAAATCCATCATGGGGGGGGGATAGAGGCACTTGTGGGGCTCCCACTGGAATTATCGACGGTGGACACGGGGGGGGGTTGTTATTCGTCGTTGCACATTTATTTATTTTTTATTTTTTGGGGAACTTTATACTGCCGACGGCCACGCGATAAATACAGGCACGGGGGCACGCACTTGATGGCTTGGATTTGACGGTTTTTCAGTGGTTTATTGTCTCTCTCGCTCTCTCGGTTGTGTTTGGGTGAGGGCACTCGAGGCTCGTTCACGCACACAGGAATTGGGCTCGTGTACCTACGGAGCAGGAGGTAAATGCGGGAATCGGAGGCTATTCAACGGGTTTTCGTGGTGGTGAGGATCACTGGAATGGGGAAATGCCGAGGTTTTTGAATTCCTCGGGGGCTTTGCTTTGCCATGTTGAGTCACGGTTTTGGAATTACTTTGGGAATTCACTAGGTAATGGGGAATATGAAGGCTTCTGGGAGGTGCTGACATCTAACGGCAACTGGGGGTTGACGAGACGTTTTTTATGCCATTTTTTTTCGTCATTTTTCACTCATTTTCTCATTTTTTTTTGTATTTTTAATCATTCTTTTGACGTTGTTGACGTGAATGCGAAATTAATATTTAAAAAATGATTAATTTATTTTTTTTATTTTTTTTGGAAGGGATTTGTAATTTCAGGAAATGAATTCTAGGAAATTGAGAAAAAATTAATTAAAAAGACAATTATGGATATTTACAATTTATTCAGTTTTCACTGTGTTCATCATATATTAATATTAAACAACGATCTCGGTATATTCTCGTTATATCAATTCACCTAATTTTTCTATCAATATCAATAAATATACAGCGAACCGCTTTTAAATCTCTCGTTCTGCAATTGAATGTTCATCGCCTCCAGCACTCAAATTCCCCTTCATTTTCAATTTTCACTATTTCGTTAAGTAAATGGCCGTAATCTACAAATACTCAATGAGTTTTTCCCAAAAATTCAGCCAGTGCTCTCGTAAAAAAGCCATTCACAAAAATCAATCGTCTCCGTGTCCCAAAAGGGATGGAAAAATCTGAAGGGTATCTTAAAAAAATTATTCCGTCTCCGTAAACTGAACGAAAGCAGTTGCAGGTCATTTGAAAAGCATAAATAATTTTAATCAACGTTCAAAATTGCGAGGTGACTAACAGCTGTGGCCGCCATCTTGCTTGGGCACCCCCTCCCCTCGTCCGAGGGGACTTTAAAAATGGCGGCGCCTCCATCTCGCAGTTTTAAACATTTATTAAAATTATTTATCCTCTTCAAATCAACTTTAACTTCTTCCATTCAGTTTCTAGAGAAGGAACAATTTTTTAAAGCTATCTCTCACATTTTTCCATCCCCTTTCGACTGAGCATTCATGACGCAAAGTTTTCCCCGCATTTCAGTAGTTTCTCATGTCGTTAATCATCTCATAAATACGTTAGCACGAATGTCAGGATCACTATCAGACCCCAAAAATAGGCACCATTGGTTAACCGTACGGCCCAGAGAGATAGACAAAGTTCTACCCACTGCATTGAGAAAAAAAATCATTAAAATATAAACTTTATGCATAAAAAATTTATTCAGTAAAAACAATTTTTATTCTCAATGGTAAATTCACTATTCGCAATATCATCATTAACAAACTGCGCCTAGAAATGAAGAAAATGAAAAATTTCATATTGTCTTTTATCGAAGTTTTTACATTAACAAAAATCAATTCTCACGGTTCTGCTGGCGTGTGCAGTACACTTCGGTGAATTACAATCATAAACTAGTGGAGCTGATGCCTGTGCGAGGAAAGTGGACAAAATCGACGAAAAAAATTGAAAAAAAGAATGATAATCAGTACAAATAAAAGAGTGATGACCTGATAAGAGAGTGAAGCAAAATGTCCCAAGTTCAGTCGTCGATATCTCGAGATTGGCTGAGTGAAATCCGGCAATTTTATTTTCATTTTCCAGGTATTTTATCGACCTTTAAAACGACACGTGACACGTCAAAATCGCATCGTCGGTTCAGCAGATATCGCCGACCGAGTGAAGTTCATTTTCCTTCACTCGTTATCAAAATCATGAAATCTACTTCGTCACATCACTCGTCCCCCTCTTCCCCTCAAATAAATACTAGATTCATACAGACACGTTTCATTAAATAATTCACTCAAATAAAAAACTAGGAAACAATAACAAGTATCCTCTGACGCTCATAAATAAACTGCTTTCACAATATCAGATCTGACATTAGATTTTCACTGGATGCAGCTCTCATTCGATCTATGACAAATGAACTCCAATGTTTGGTGTTTCTACAAGTACAGAACAGACTTCTTAATGTTCATTGAATTTAAATTCTCCTTAAACATAGTTGTCAATCTTTTATAAATTAATGAGTCAATCTAGTTGTGCTGTATCATTTGCATTTCTTTTGATAATGTATCGTGAATTATCGATAAAATCGCTGCACAATGCTGATACAATGAAGTATCGTAGTGATGAGGATGGATGAAAAGAAGGAGAATGCAACTAATGAGGCTGATTAATTAAGTTTAAATCATTTTGAGTGAAGATTGGACTCTTCATCATCACTGTAGTCGTCACTGAGGTAGTGACTCGGCTGTGAAAACTCGTAGCGACCAGCTTTTTTCGGTGGGGGACTGAAAAAAAAAATTAATTATGAACTCATTGTTTGCACTCAAATTAATTCATGATTAATTAATGCAACAGGACGAGTCATTGAATTTCTTAGATCATTTTTTTGGTGATAACTCCTTGTTTTCTTCATTTCCCTTGTTTTGCTTTGAAATTAATTTATGAATCGTTGTAAAAAATTAATTGATTCTCCATTGACAATGATTTTTAATTATTCACCTGGTGTGATCATCGTCGTTATTACTACTACAACTACCATCAGGACTTCCCGCTCGTTTTGGACTGGCTGGGGGTGATAACGCCTGCATGAGGCGCCCTTTACTCTCGTTCCAAATTGTGGACTGTAAAAATCAATTTCCAAAGATGATTATAAACGATAAATAGTCTCCCACGATGAAAAAATGAGACTAAAGGGTCACAATCGATGATTTTTGGACGGAAATTACCTTCAGGCAGTTCAACTACTCATTCTCTTGGCATTTTGACAATTTCTTCCACTTCATTAATTCATCTTCGACTTCGCTAATTCATCTTTTCCTCGAAAAAACGAAAATAACGACAGACAAATGGGGATTACCTTATCGTCAGACGTTACTTATTTATTCATTAGATCGAATACTTTCTCGTAAAATATTAAAATTCAATTAGAGATAGCAAAGGGCGTAAATACAGTATAAAAGTCTAGTAATTAAAATTCTTCAATGAAGATGATTGATTTTGCTGGCTGATCTCTTCGCAGTGATTCCAACAGCTGTTATCACGGCAACGAACAGGATTATCGTGTAAAGGGCAAATATGATAAAAAATCCACATCCTCGTATACCCACCAGTCTCCCTTCTCTGCCGAACAGCAGGAGGAATGCATCGATAAAATCCCGTGATTTCTCTTCCCATTTGCTTATCATGTCCATTCGTTTCTCTTCTATATTCTCCATTACTCGTTTTCCTTTGTCTTTCAGGTCGTCCAGCTTGTTTTGAATTCGAAATTTCTTTTCCTAATTGAATAGAAAATCGTCATTAAGGCAGTGGACTAGTGCGTCATTATTATTATATTTTCATAACATGCAATTAAAATCAATAATGAAAAAATTAATTGGGAAATAGATGAAGAATGACGAATAAGTCTTTTTTGATTTTAAAAAATGTGAATAAAATTTAATGATATTAGTTTAAAGATTAAAACTCACGTTAAGAAATGAAACATTCAATTCTTTAGCGCTGTACCCCCTCGCCAGATTTCTCCTCACATAAATATCGTAATCTTTGACAATTCGAGCGACAATATCAGACGTCGAGACCCCCTCAGTTCTCTGTGTAGCAACGAACATTCCTTTGGCCTTAATCATGGCATAAACGTCGTCAGCGTCGTCTGTCACGTACGGAATATCGTCATGCGCCACGAAATCAATCTGCAGTGATAAGAAAATAATAAATAAAACTGTAAAACGTGATATTTTGCAAACAGCGATCGGCAAAAGTCGTTAGTTTAGCAATAATAAAAGAAGTTTATTGTTGATTAATTAAAGTTCACTAATTTTTATTTAAATTTTAAAATAATTTTCAATTCTCTGTTATTATTAAACAATTAATGTTAAATATCTCAATTTGAATTTTTGATTAATTGAATTAATTAATCGTCATTCTTGCGAAGTTGATTGACTTTGATTGATGGTTAATTGATTAAAAATGATAAAATTGTACAATAAAATAGTGAAATTAACTAATTTTGCACGTAAGGAAATAATTTAACTTCGAATTATCACTTTGGCGTTCTCTTTTCGGGAATAATTACCTTGTGGGCTGCTAAATACTCTTCGTCCAGTTCCCACGGTGCATCACGAATAACTTCGTCGACGTAACGGCAATGCCTGACAGCCTCGTACCTCTCCCAATCGGTCATAACGGTGCGACCCTTCTTCTCATGTGTCAACTTATCGTTGCAAACTATTGATATTCGAGAAATAAATGAGTGAACTGTGGTCAGGGGGATAATTGTCATTTTTTACCTCCGACGATCAGGTAGACGTTTGGAAAAATATTCTTCGCTTGCATCAACTGTCGTGCGTGGCCCTGATGGAACAGGTCGTAGATACCGTCTGCGTACACCCTCACACGTCGTGGGGCTGTGGGAATTGATGAGATCAGGAGTTTAATTAATTGATAACAGGGGGACGAAGTCAAATTTTCGATATGTTATAATCGTAGGAAACAGCGAATTTATTAAAATTTACCTAAATAAATTTATTAAAATGATTTAAAAATTCTTAAAATATTTTTTTTTATTTTAATATTTATTAAAATAAAAATAAATATTAATAAATAGCAAATTTAATCAAAATATAGTAAATTGGGGTAAATGGAGACTTGTGACTTTTTTCAAGGGTTTGTGAATTTTTTAAGACAAGTGTCCATTTTGCCCCATCGGTCCCCAGGGCCTTGGGTGAGTTGTAGCTCACCTTTTCCACTTTTAGCCATTTTTAGGGTAATTTTTGTGGCGTAATCACAGGCATCTCGCTCCAGGATTGCGTCTGTATCATCACTGAATGGTGCTTCTTTGTATATTGACTGTGAATCAGGAAAAGGGAAGTGTTGATGGTTTAAAACGTAAAGAGTGAATTAAAAAAATGTTGTGAGTGAATTGAGAATTGAATTTTTCCTTCTAATTATTTTAGAAATGACATTTTCCAGTCAAAAATTGCAAAATTAACAAAAATGTCAAATTATTGAAGGTGAAATTATCTCAGTAAGGAGTAATTTTTAAGAAGAAAAAAATCAATTTCAACATGAAAATAATAATATTAATATTCTTTCAAAATCAAGTGACTTGAGAAATTTTTTTTCCAATTGCCACAGAACATGTTATATGGAAAAATCCCTAAAAAATTATAAATAAAGAAAACTCACGGGATTGTTGTGAGCGAATCAAAAATATTTTCCTTCTAATTATTTTAGAAATGATATTTTCCAGTCAAAAATTACAAAATTAACGAAAATGTCAAATTATTGAATGTGAAATTATCTCAATAAGGAGTAATCTTTAAGAGAAAAAAAAATCAATTTCAACATAATTGAGGGAATATTAATGTTAATATTCCTTCAAAATCAAGTGACTTCGGAAAAAAAATTACAAAAAATTCCCAAAGGAAATTTTCCGTGGAAAAATCCCTAAAAAAAGGATGAATGAAAAAAACTCACTGGATAAACTGGAGAACTCTCCCTCTGGATGGGTGAATCATCCCCATTCTGAACGCTCATCATGCTCGTCACCTCCTTATCATTCACCTCATTATCCGTAATCTCTTCGACAAGTTGTTTCGGCATTCTGCACTTCCAATATTACCATATAAATCGCCCACTCTATCTGCAAAACCAGATTATTCATTCATGACAACCAAACCTCATTTGTTTCCACACAGAAATAAAAAAGAAAATGTAACATCTGAAGTGGGACGATGTATTCTACCAGATTCATCACACTTTTACCTAGTTATCACTATTCTATTTCCTTCGACAAAAAATGTTCAGCAGAGGCAACTGCCACTGAATCCCAGAGGAAGTTGTGACAATAAATTGACACCTCTGTCACTCGAAACCGTCTAAACGTCAATTCGAGGTTATGATGATGATTACGACAGTCATATGTTCTTGTTCATACGCTCCAATTCCAATTGACAACCCGAAGAAGACAATAGCCACTCAAGTTCACCATAAAACAGCTGCGAATGCGAACATATTTTTAATAAATAACCGAATAAATGCTTGAGATCGTGAATTTATTCACTTCAGAGGTGAAGAATGAAGTGGAAAAGACGTTCTGAACACGACAAAAAATAATAATGAAGATATAATAATTAATCACGTGTCCTCTAACGATGGCAAGAATGCGATGACTAACGATCACCCTCTTCCCCTAACGAAAGTCACACCATGCCCGCTAATCAGTCCCCATTCCCGGAAATATTAACCGACTCAATTCCAGACTTTGTAATCGTAACCCCCGATAACAGAACTGCGTCGTGATAATTCGAAGAAATATTTCCCCGCGAGTGCTCCGACAGGAATTTAACATAAAAAACGATGAATCAACATTTGTTTGACTTGTGACGTTGGCATTCGCCCGTGTTCCCGGATAAGGACAGAATGAAAAATTCTGGGCGTCGGTAATTGATAATCGGGGATTAACGAGTGAAATTAAATAAATTACCTCGAGTTTTCTCGGAGGAAGATCAAGATTGGGGTGGCCACATGCCCCAGGCCCAGCTGATCCTGACTGATTCCTGAAGTGATTAGTCACAAAAACCTCACTTCAATCACTCGCGATTAACGAGATCAATTGTTAAGAATAAATCGGTGAAGTCGAGCTGTCGCGACACGTTCGCTCGCCGGATGAAGTGGAGGTGCCACCGAGCCGCTGGGATAACTGAAGTTTCGTGCGGCGTAGGCTATTCTCGCGTGAAGATGCCCCAGGGGCGTAACAAATAATCGGGATTACATCAGCGGATTTTTAATTCTGTTGATCGGCGAACGATCAGTTACCGCTTCAATCCGATTGTCTACGGGAATATTTTTTTAATGTTTTTTTTTTGGTTTTTACTCGCGCCAGACGCGAGTTTTCTGGGGGAATGGAGCAGTAGGAGGGAAACTGATGAATATTAAAAAGTACCGGTACATGCGCGAGGGAAATCACACCGATGAATTTGATGACATAATCGCAATCGGGTGATGCACTACGTCATTAATTTCCACATTGCATTTTGCGCGGTCTGTGAACGGGTGATAAGGATTTTTTAGTCGAGAATCTGAGGATTTATTTTCGCTTTTGGGAATTTTGTCTGGTGGAAACGAAGAAAACGTTAATTTTGTCAATTCTTTGTTTGTTCTTCAATGTTTTTTTTATTGGGGGTTGTTAGTTTTTAATTTCAAGGGAAATGTATTAGTTTATGATGATTGAAGCGGCTTTAATTAGTTGTGATAATAAAATATTTTTTTATTTCAATTGCGTTACTTTCGTATTTTTAATTAATTCCTGAAACTCTGGATTGATGAATAAAGTTTATTGTGATACTGAGTTGAAGGCCTTTATTCCAGTTATTTATTTAATTCGCTTGTTTTCCAAACATTATTTTAAAAAACGCAAGAAAACTGTTCAATTTTAATCCACAATTGAATTTATTTCAATTCATTGTCACAAATAATTGTCGAACTTCAATTACATTACTTTTGTTTTATTCCATTATTTATTGAAATGTTTGATTAATGTTTGTTCTTCAAATATTAATTCAAAAAAATTGTTCAATATTAATTAACAATTGAATTAATTTCAATTCATTGTCACAAATAATTGTTCAACTCCAATTAAATCACTTTTGTTTTATTCCATTATTTATTGAAATGTTTGATTAATATTTGTTCATTCAATTTGTTTGTCCTTCAAATATTCATTAAAAAAAATTGTTCAATATAAATCGACAATTGAATTAATTTCAATTCATTGTCACAAATAATTGTTCAACTCCAATTAAATCACTTTTGTGCTACTCCATTATTTATTGAAATGTTTGATTAATGTTTCTTTATTCAATTTGTTTGTCCTTCAAATATTCATTAAAAAAATTGTTCAATATAAGTCAACAATTGAATTAATTTCAATTCTTTCTCACGAATAATGTTTCAATTACAATTACGTTACTCTCGTCTTGACCTATCTGTCAAAACTTTGCATTAATGACTAAAGTTGACTGTACTACTGACTCACCGCTCTCTCCTCCACTGCTCGCCAAATCTCCTTGCCCTCCAGCCGCCCGCAGCATTGAACTTCGAACGCAATCCGTATTTCCCGCTCGACCACGTAATCGGAAGTGACGTCCATCGCAACTCCACATCATTCGCCGTTCCGCGACGGTGAGAGCGCGACAATACGTACACACTCCACGATCCACAAACACACGTGGACATTCGCGCGTGTGACACCCACACAACTCCCGCAGCAGTCAACACGGGGGGGAGACGTGTCCGTGTGTGTGTCGGGGGGAGGGGGGGCAGAACCTTAAAATATATGTCATGTACATTCCACATACCCTGACCGCGCGTGCAAGGGTTCGCGGGTAAAGTACGTGCCGAGAGTGGATGGATCCGTATTTTTTTTTCTCCACCGAGTTTTTGAGTAAAGCATTATGGTGATCCAGCAGGAGGTCGTGTCCAAGGCCGAGGAGATCGCGGATCAGGTGAGATTTGCGCTTTTGTCAGGGTTTTTCACGAAAATCCTGTTCCCTTGTTTCCTTTTTTTTTGGGGGGGGCTTGACACGTCGATTACTTTCACTGGATTGTTGTGGGAACAGGATGGGCCTCCCGCGGGAGCACAGGTGGATGTCAACGTCAGCATTATTGCAACTATTGTTATTTCGTGGTGATGATTTACGCTTGGGTTATACTGGCGTTTTGTGTTTTCGCGGAGAATGATGTGGTGGCATGAGTTGTTGGGGACAGGTTATATTTTCAGGTTTTTGAAAATGAGAATTGTCCCATATTTTGGGGGTTTTTGGGACCGGCGGCGGGGGGAGGGGGTCTGGGGGCCTGCGATGGGGTGATTCTGGGGGATTTTGGGGGATGGGCTGGATTTGGGAATTTATTTGGGGGTGAAAGGGCCGAACTCCTGATTTTTCAGGTCTTTCAGTTGATGATTTTTGTTCGGGATTTTTTTCTGTTTAAAAGGAATGGCTTCGTGTTCTGTTGCAGAGCTATTTGTCTCTGAGATCTTGTTTTGTTGAGAGAGAAATACTTTCCTAACGACTTTTTGGTTCTGTGACCATCCTGGGGATGAGTAGTTTTATGGAAAAAGATTCTGTAAAGTTTTTTTTTAATTAGTCGCTATTGGGACTAATGCACAGTTAACAGAATAATGAAATTCGATCTGTCGTGAAGACTGACCTGGTGGCATAATTTCTTTGGCCATGAAAACGTGGAGATGGTTTCGTAGTTTGAGCGACAAGGAAACGAGAATTTTTAGGTTTACCTAAATTGGTAATTGAAGTGCCAATATTCAGGACAAAATAACCCAAATTTTTATTCATTTGATAATTTTCTGTGGATTTCTCTCTAAAGTTTCAAATCTTGAATTATGAAATTTCTTGAAATTTCAGAAATTTCCAAAATTCCAGAGGAAGAAAAATCCTGGGATTTTTAATTCTTTGCACTCGCATTCTTTCAATTCTTCCAAATGATCCCTAATTCTCTTTGATTTCTATCAATTTTCCTGCAATAATTTAACTTCCCTAGGAAGAAAAATCCTGAAATGTTCAATTTCTCTAAAATCTCACTAAAATTCCAAATTATTTTTCAATCTCCAGTAATTTCCACACAATAATTCAACCAAAGCAACAATTCCCATAGATTTTCTTTCAAAATATTGAATTCTCCCTCCCCAATTCCAGTGAAAACCACCTCAACAATCCCCTAAATTTCATCCAAAAATTCTCAACAATGATCTCTAATTCCCTTTGAATTCTATTAATTTTCCTGCACTAATTTAACAATAATTCAACCAAAGCAACAATTCCCACAGATTTTCTTCCAAAACATTGAATTCTCCCTCCCCAAATTCCAGTGAAAGCCACGCAACAACAACACACCGCAACAACAACACCTTAACAACAACACCCCAAATTGAATGAAAAAATTCTCACCGACACCTCCAATTTCTCCCAAAAAATCAGGTAATTCGTAACGGGAAACATGTGCTGCCAACTCTCGCCCGTCTCTGCCTAATAGCCACATTCCTGGAGGACGGATTACGAATGTGGTTCCAATGGAACGAGCAACGGGAGTACATGGACCTGTCGTGGGGCTGTGGCAAGTTCCTGGCGACGTTATTCGTCCTCGTAAATTTACTAGGCCAATTGGGTGGTTGTGTGATGGTGATCGGTAGATTTAAGGTGCCAATAGCCTGTGGACTTCTCTTCTTCATCGTGGTCCTCCAGACATTCGCCTACAGCATCCTCTGGGACATGCAGTTCCTCTTCAGGAACCTCGCCCTCATCGGCGCCCTGCTGCTCGTCCTCGCGGAGTCCAGGGTCGAGGGGAGATCTCTGTTCGCTGGAGTTCCGACTCTCGGCGACAACAAACCGAAGAATTATCTGCAACTGGCTGGCAGAGTCCTCCTCGCCTTCATGTTCATCACGTTGATACGCTTCGAAGTGTCTTTCATGCAGATCATTCAGGATATACTTGGAAGTATTCTCATGGTTCTCGTCACCATTGGGTACAAGACGAAACTCAGTGCTCTCCTTCTTGTTTTGTTACTCTCAGCCCTCAACTTTTACCATAACGCCTGGTGGAGCATTCCTGATCACAAACCTCTGAGAGATTTCCTTAAATATGACTTCTTCCAGGTAATTATCACTTATCTTCTTCGAATCATATTTTTTTTTTTTGATTTAGGGTTTAAATGACATCCTCAGCTTTTTGCTGTTGCAAATTGGTTTTATGTACACCAGGAACTTGTTTATTTATAAACGTGCAATGAATTTTGTTAAAAAATGGATAATTGGTCAATTTGAATGGTCAATTTTCACTGCATAAAGTAGAAAAAAAATATTTAGAAATGGAAATATGAAAAATGAAAATGAAAATCGTCATTAAAAAATGGATAAATATGATGTCAATATGAGTTGAATTAAAAATTTAATATTCACTCCAATTCATCAATTCTGTCAATTTTCATTGCATGAAACAGAGCAAAATATTTTTAAATAGAAAAAATAAAAATGGAAATAGAATAAAATGGTGAATGAATAAATATAAATATTATTCTTCCAGACACTCTCAGTAATCGGAGGACTCCTGATGATCGTTTCCCTGGGTCCAGGTGGAGTATCCATGGACGAGCACAAAAAGAAATGGTAGAGTGTCACCAGGATAACGCTTTTACCTCGACTCTCCGTTACAGCGGCTCTTCCGGGTGTTGATGCATCGGGGGAAATTTCCCTCTTATTTCCCCCCCCCCCCACAATTTTTCCATTTCAATCGAAGTTCAAACTGATTTAAAATGAAAACGAGTGCATGGAATCGAATGAATTCACTGACCGAATTCGTTACTTATCATGTGGTATTGCAATGCAAGATGGGAAATATTTTTCTTCATTGAAATTATTTTTCTTGGATTGTGCGTACAGAAGGCAATAGAATATGTGTTGACGAAATACGAAAAATTCAAATCATAACAGACAAGACTAATTTATACTATCGTAATAATAGTTGTAATGATTGTAATGGCATTGTACATATTACAGCGGTGAAACATGATTATTTGATTACAATATGTGGAATTATTTATTTTATTACCTGGATTATTCATTTAAGTCATTTCATTTTTGAAGTTTTAAATTTTCATTTAATTCTTAATTCTTGGATTTTAAATATTGAGAGAAACTACTGTAGTTTTTAATTTTTTTAAATGAAAATTGATGAAATATTTGAAAAATTGCTAATATAAAAGAATTAAGATCCTCTTTATTCTAAAAATCACTTGTTTGCAATTATAAAAAATATATTAATGTTAAAATTCTCCCATAAAAGGAATTTTACCCAAAGAAACAAAATTTCCAAAACTTAAAAAAATTCCCATTATTTATTTAGCAAAAGAAAACGTTAATTTTTTTTTTGCAAAATGAATCTGCAATTGAACTGGAGAATTTAGAAGTGAAGATACTCCCGACTGTGGCGCCACTAATAATAATAACAATTCTCAAGATTTTTTTTCTCGGACTTGTGCTTTGTACCGTTTCTGTACGGCTTCAATTCAATGAACCTGAGAACAGCTGTTTCTCCTGAATAAAATAACCCGTCTTCCCCCTGTTATCAATGTAATTCAACACTTATCAGGACAAATAATGGTGTCGAGTTCAATTCGTGGAGTGATGAGTTTATAACATCGGGGTAAGTGGACACTTGCTATTATTATCGGTTAGTTTGACATGACAGTGACAGCACCTCCTGAAATTATTGACATTACTCTTATTTGAGCCCCAGGTTAGCTGGGAACTCCAATTTTTCACGGAGACTAATTAAATTAATTAATTTGAGAGAGAGTGACAGGAAAAAGCTCACCCACATTTCGGAGCACGCAAGTTTTTTGGAGTTATCTCGAAATCTAGAAGAGATAGCGATATTTCCACGAAGACCTTTCCTGCGGAGAAAAAGAAGAGCTACAAAAAAGTTTCGCAGAAGATTTTCGCTATCTGGCCTCAATCCCGAGATATTCCTAAAAAACTAATAGTCTGACTGAAGAAATTGAATTTCACTGTTTTACTCATCAGTTTTTCCCGAATATCTCGGAACCCATGGCAGATACCAAAAAACACGTAAGGACCTTTTTTGGAGGGGAGAAAGAGACCCACAAAAAAGGTCCTGACAAGTTTTCCGCTATCTCCCCCCGCTTCCGAGATATCCCCAAAAACCCGAATAAAAAATCCCCCTCAGACAACTAAGTCCTCAAAAATCCTTTCAGATTCCTCTTCCCTTAAAAAAATGTTATCGGCCTTCAAACGCCTTGCGGGTAAGCACGATGCGCTCCCGAGCCCCTCGCCGCGTCCGGCGCACCAGACGATGCCGTCGACGCTGCAGCGAAAATTCGCAAAAGGTGTCCAATACAACATGAAGATAATAATAAAGGGCGACAGGAACGTCGGCAAGACGTGTCTGTTCCACCGCCTCCAGGGTCAGAAGTTCATCGAGGAGTACCTCCCCACAGAGGAGATCCAGGTGGCGTCAATCCAGTGGAACTACAAGGCCACCGACGACGTGGTGAAGGTGGAGGTCTGGGACGTGGTGGACAGAGGAAGACGACGAAAGAAGCTCGACGGTTTAAAAATGGACAACTCCCCGGGCGAGGGAGTGCTGGAGGAGCCAGCCCTCGACGCCGAGTTCCTGGACGTCTACAAAGCCACCAACGGAGTCATAATAATGATGGACATAACAAAACCCTGGACCTTCGACTACGTCCAGAGGGAGCTCCCGAAGATTCCCGAGCACATTCCCGTTATCGTCCTGGCGAATCACTGCGACATGTCCCACCACCGAGCCATCACCTCGGACAAGATGACGTACTTCATCGACTCGTTGAAGGGGAGGACGACCCAGGTGAGGTACGCCGAGTCGTCGATGAGAAACGGTTTCGGCCTGAAACTCCTCCACAAGTTCTTCAACCTGCCCTTCCTCCAGCTGCAGCGAGAGACCCTGCTGAAGCAGCTGGAGACCAACGAGGAGGAGACGCAGCTGACGTGCCAGGAGCTCGACCTCTTCCAGGAGAGCGACGACGCCGATTACGATAAATTCCTGGACAACCTCGTGCACCGAAGACGAGTTATCGCAGACTCGACTTCAGCGACTGTTCTAGTCCCGAACGTAACGTCATCTCTGAGCACTCATCACCACCCACAGGGGCCCAGCAGTGGCAGCTCGTCGACGCCGGAGGTCAGGAGGTCCTCGATATCGAGGCCGATGGGGGGAGGGACCCCCATCCCCGTGAAGCAGCTGGAGAGGATCCCCAGGAGGTCCAGTGGCCTCAGTAAATCGAGCTCTGGGATTAATTCTCCTCCTGGGGAGGCTGTCGACGCTGAGGGCGTTGAGCACGCTGGGAAGAGGGTGGAGGGCGCCCTGATGAGTGTCGAGGACTTTGTCCCTGACGATGGGAAGCTGGACAGGTCGTTCTTGGAGGACAGCCAGTCCTCCCCGTTGAAGAGTCAGAAGATGAACGCCGACACTGACAGTGACACAGAGACTGGCAATCCCCTGGTCGCTGGGTACGAGGACGATCTGTCCTCTGGGGATGAGACTGCTGTCCCTGTGGAGCCCAGACTCGTGGAGAACCCCCTCAGCAGGCGGAGTAAGAGGGCGGAGGAGAAGGGCGAGGCCGAGGGGAAGAAGAGGGACTCGATATCGTCGAGTGAGGAGCTGGGGAACTCCAATGGGGCCCTCTCGGGGGCCAACAGTCAGCAGGATGGCTCTGAAGCCTTCGACAGCTGGCTCGCCAGGGACTCCAAGTGGAGGCAGAGCCCTGAAGGTGGGGAGGACGTCGCCAGCATCGGGACTAGGAAAGATAAACTCGAGTTGAGCGACAAGAGCCTCGACGTCAGTGTCACCAGCTCTAACGTCCATTTGGAACTCTTGGATGGCCTGAGCATACGCAGGGGAGACTCCAACTCCAGCAGCCCGGTGTTGAAGGAGAAGAAGAAACATAGAGAAGTGGTGAGGATTTTTTTAGGCCATTCGTCTGGGGAGCTTTGTTTTTGGGCGGTATCTTCGGACCTGAGGGAGATGGCGAATTTTTTGTGGAACACTTTTTGTAGGGGGGAACCAGGGCTACAAAAAAGGTCCAGAGGAGTTTTTTGATATCTCCTTTAGATTGAGAGGTTTTTCGCAAAAACCGAATGGGGATTCGGTGACGAATTCGCGAAGATGAGTGAATTTCAGTTTTCGTTTTTCGGGGATATCTGCGGATTTAAGAGGGATAGCAGATTTTTTGTCATGAACTTTTTTGTAGGGCTGGGTTTCCTCTACAAAAAAGGTTCCCAGAAGATTTTCGCCATCTCCGTCGGTTCCAGAGATATTTCCAAAAAACTAATCACGCTTTTGAAATTGGAGATCATTTCGTGCATTTTAATGTCCAATTGTGGTTTCCAGGGAGAGGAGAAGGAAAAAAGACGGAAGAAGAAGAATAAGGATAAGGACAAAGACAAAGAGAAAGATAAATCAGAGAAGAGCGAGAGGAGGAAGAAGAGATCCCACCATCGATCGAGAAACGAGGACAACGGTCGAGACGAACTCGAGGAATTTCTGAATGGATCGACCACTCGTACACCCGTTGACATGGCCTACGAGGCACTTTAACCAACTTTTCGTCTCGAAGACGTCGTCCTACTGCTTATCGATGTATCCTGAATTGTTATATGAAATTACAAATTGTGGAGAAGACAATTATTAAGAGGAAACGAGAAATTCCAGAACTGCTGTGTCCGACACACTCTTTAATCAGTAACTCTGTCCTAAATTCTGATTATGTTCATTTACTAGATTGTTTTTGATTCACTTTGAGTATTGAAACGCTTATTTTCATTTTTATTATTGTTATTTATCATTAATGATCTCTATAATCGAAAAAAGTCTATTATTCATTTCTACTTTGTCGAATTTATGAATTTCAACCAAAACCCGCCCATTTTGCCCCATATTCCTGTAATATTAGTGGAGTTGGCGAACGAGGGGAGACGATTTCACCTCTTTATCAATTTTTAGAGAATATTTCTATTCAGTCCTGAGATTTTTACCAAAGAATTAATTCAGCTTCAATAGCTTCACTTGAGTGAAGCTATTGTTAAGTGTCTTTAATCGCGAATATCTCGGGATTGGCTGAGTGAAATTCAAAAATCTTTTTTTCATTTTCAAGATTTGTTAACAATCTTCAAATCTAGACGTGACTCACCCAAATCGGACCGTTGAGTCGCCAGCCATCGCGGTTTGAATTAAACGTCTTTGAAAAATCAGATTGCGCAGGTGCCCATTCCACCGATTTGTTGACATATTCGTAGTATAACCCACACACAGCTCAGTCTGTGTGTGTGTGTAGAGCCAATTCACCACCGCAGTTACCGAAACATGGCTGGCATGAGGCTCGCTCCGCAATTGCCCGGAATTTTCTGAGGAATTCATTCCCGAAAAGCCCCTGACGATTGAATGAACGTTGAATTACAAGTGTTGAATAAAAATGTCACAGTGCATGCGATCGGTGTCCAGCAGGCTCATGACCTGCGTCAACTCGAGGAAACGGCTGATGCAAGTTGACCGCCGGCTGCCAAAACACACGAAACGATGTGCACTTCTTCAAAAGGTACGTTTTCCCCTGATTAATCCGAGTTTCTAATTTACCAGCGTAAAAATCAATTTTCAATTAGCAATGCGATGCGAGCACCTGATGGGTTGGTATTGTCATCGCTATTTGACGGTCGGTGAAGGTTCTGGAAATGCCAATGGGGTTAACCTCAAATTTCCTGGCTTACATAATATGAAATGGTTAACCATGTTCCTTAATTAATTTTTTTTTTAATATTCCTGAGGAAAATTTATGTTTTTTCATCTTCAATGCTCTCTGACTTTATTATAGCAACATTATTCATCACTGCAGATTGTGAATTAATTAATGAACGAGGTTAATAGAAACCCTGCTTCAGTTTATGAAGAATATCTCGAAATTGAAGGGAGATATCGAAATTTTCGTAAGGACCTTTTTTGTAGAGCGAGAAAAGATCCGCGAAAAAGGTTCAGAGTGAAATTGTCGTATGCCCTTTAGATCGCGAGATATTCAGGAAAAAGTGAACTCAACAGGAGTTTACTCATTTCGAGTTTTTTTTATTGAAATAATAGTTAATTATTGTATTTTGTTCATTTGTAGTACGATACATTATCTGTCAGTCAACCAAAAGTGGATGAAGTGACAGTACCATACCTGACGAACCGATTTATCGTCGGCATTCATGGGAATCACTTGAGACCTTACTCAACTACTTCTAGTAGTCCCAAAGAATCTGTAGTCGTGCAGAACTACGATCAGTCCCCGGACGATGCGACGGGCGATGAGGGGGCGAGGGGACACTCCCCGAACCAATTGGAAGTTGTATATAATACTCTGCAGAAGGATGTGAGCCCCACCAACTCGATAATCACATAATAATTAAAACCAGATCAACCTCATATTTAGTTTTTCGTTAATATCTCCGAAAATAAAAGAGATAGCAAAATTGGTGTGAGGACCTTTTTTGTAGCCCGCTTTTCACTCTACAAAAAAGGTCCTTATGAAAAATGACCTGTCTCCCCTAGATTCGAAGATATTCGCAGAAAAACGCGTTCAATCCGAATTAAATTATCTTTTTTCACTGAATTAATCAATTGATTTAATGAATTCAGCGCTATGGTTTTAATTGCAGCTTCCCAAGATATTCGTATCTTCCATCGATTATCGTATCTACCACAAAGACATGGAGTTCATAAATAATTTGAAAGGGACAACATCAAAGTTCGTATAAAGTGTTGAATTAAATGAGAAAATTTCTTGATAATTGACTTATTTGGGATTGAAATGTTGCCTTTGTGGTTCCAGAGGACTCAGTAGTTATATTAAACAAATATTGTACCTGAGGACATCAGCCCACATGATGTATGCCTACGTTAAATTCGATATCCTGAAAATAACGATGCACCCGGAGGACAATACCGTCAAAGTCCGGTGGCGAATTAGGGGTTTATCAAGCCTCAAAGTCTTCACAATGTTCTGGAAACTGAGGATTCTGAAGACGGCTGAGAGCATGCAGGGACTTGAATCGTAAGTGGCAATTCGTGACTTCAATTATCCGTCAATTTTGCATTTGAGAATAAATAAATAAATCAAATTTACTCGTCTCAGGGAAGAGGGATGAAATTGCCTTTCTTCAATTACCAATAACTCGAGATTGGCAGAGTGAATTTAAACAACTTTTCTTTCATTTTGAAGGTATTTTTTCAGGCTTTGAAATGCGGCTTGACTCGTCCAAATCGGATCGTTAGATCCCGAGATATTGGTAATTTAGCGTCACCCCACATTTCCTCTTTTGCAATTAAATTTCTGGACCATAAACTCAATTAGCAATAACTCGAGATTGGCGGAGTCGAATGTCACAATTTTTTTTTCATTTTGAAGGTACTTTTGTGCGCTTTGAAATGAGATGTGACTCGTCTAAATCATCCTCTTAGATCCCGAGATATTGGAGATTGAAGAAAGCGCATTTTTCCTCATCTCCTCGTATTCGATCTTTTAGCAATTAAATTCTTGACAAAACGTTCTAAAATCGAGTGAAAATAAATTACAGCTGGCACGACGGCTTCTCCACGTTCCACGTAGGCTCAGACGGTCTGGTACACAAGCACGTGGCCGACAAAATCATGCCCGACGACGAGGCAGTCCCCGCAAAAGCCAAGCCGGACATAGCAGCCAAACTGGCAGCGTGAGTTCTGCTCTCAGGATCTCCAGGAGATCCAGCGGTCACCCATTCCCATCAGGCGTCCACCGTCACGCATTAGAGAAAAAAAAGAAAACTCCACGAAGCCTTCACCCACTGCAAAACCGTGGACTCACCGAATTGATCAACACTTAACTAATTAATTCCACTTATGCATATTTATTTATGATTACAAAACGTGAAAAATGTTGCTCTCGATCATTGGTAAGAAGTAATCAGCAAACTTTCTCCAGTCTCTCGTGTCTAGAGTTTAAGCGAATAGTTGGAGCTTTACGTGTTTGTTGATTTTATGAATAAAAGTCAATTTGATTTATATACACATGAGGGTGGAGGTGAAAATTATTCGCAGTTCAATCCCAAGTAGTCGTCCATGAGTGTTCCAATCGCGAACTGAAAGGGAATCGTTAATTTATTGATATTATTTGGTCTTGAAGTAGCTCTACTCTTCGGGATTGTAATTTTCTCAATTGTATTATCGTTTGCATTTTTCAAAGAAAAAAAAAGGCTAAAAATCAGGATTTAACAGTGTCTTAGTGCGATAAAAAATTAAAATCTGATTTTTTTCATATTTTGCAAACAAGTTCTATTATTTATTAATAAGAAAGAAATGTCTGAAAAAATAATGGATTTTTCTCAAATTTGTCTCATGCAATTTAGTTGAAAAATTCAAAAACTGAAAATATTCAAGAGTAGAGCTGCTTTAAATGATTTTCCAGTGGAAATTGGTGAGGTATTCTTACGATTCCAGTGGCATCGACACGTGTGCCAACGATTTTCAACCGGATCTCATCGTCCGCTTGAATGACAACATCCTCTTCCTTAGATTTGTAGCAGGGGGGACTGACGTTTGGACAAAATTGCATGTCAGCCGGAATTGACTGGAATTTTGATTACAAAAAATGATATTAACACGTCTGATGGTGGTTGGGGGTCACTTCTGGGGGATATTACTCACGTGGTGAGAGATGAAGCAGGAGAGGGGTCCAATTTCCGCAAACATTCCTACCTGGATCGATGAAATTAAACATCACATAATTCTTTTTGAGAAATTCCTCAACATGCCTTCTTCAATTGTTGAATTATCTCGATAAATAATGGTTTTAGGAGAAAACTTTATGGGACCTTTTTTGCAGCTGAGACAATTTCCAACAAAAATCTCCTTTGGCATTTTTTTCTCATGTCACTCCTTATTGAGATAATGAATAATTTAACAAATAGAAAATTAAACTGTTCCGTATTAAATCCAATTTGACACTATTCGTATTTGTTGATTAATCTTGAAAACGAATGGTTGCACGAGAAAACTTCATAGGACCTTTTTTGTAGCTGACAAAATTCCGAACAAAAATCTCCTCTGTAATTTTTTTCTCACGCCACTCATTATCGAGATAATTAAGAATTTTCAAATGAAAAATCGACTCGTTTCGTGAAAAAAATTAAAAAAATCGTTTACATACTTTGTTAACCTGTGTGACGATGGCGTCAAGCACTTCCCCCTTGAACGGTCTGAAGACAATAGCCTTGTACTTGACAGGATAAACGACGAAGCCCTGGCCAGGCTGGATGATGCCAGCCCCGATGTTGTCGATCGTCGTCACAGCCACGACGAATCCGTACCTGAATCCCAGTCAAACAAAACAATTAATTATTCTCAGGATTTATTCACCTCCAGGGGGTGAACATACTTCCCAGTGCACGTGCCCTCGACCTCTGTGTACAGTTTCTGCTTGACAGTGTCCAGCAATTGGGGCCCAAAGTACCTCGGATGGAGGAGGATCTCGTGTTCCAAAGAGATCTAGAGTGGATTCGATGAGAGAATGTCCACTGGAACTTAATTTTAATTTTTGGTTTATTTGTTACTCACGTGGTAGAACATTCCGATGATTTTTTGGGACGTGAGCAGTGTTTAGCGTCCTTCACGAGCTAGGTTATGTTGACATGTTGTGGGAGGGTCGGTGGAGGGGGAATTGTCAGTCGGTGACATATTCCCACGCGAATAATAATTATTTGTCGAAAGGAAGAAATAGTTGGAGTGAATATGTTCGGAAATAAGAGGAAGAACCTGCCACCGAGGCCTAGTCTGCCGCAGGCGGACCAGATAACTGAGGATCTCTGTATTCCAACCACGAATGACGTTGCTTTCAGCTTCCAAGATCGAGGTTCGTGTCATTGCATTCACATATTGACAATTAATCCAGAAAAACATAACACTTGTATTGATTTGTAAAACGTGTTGTATTCATTCATCAATATCTCTTGACTTAACGATACGATTTCGACGAGTCACCTCTCATTTTGAAGACTATGAAAATACCTTGCAAATGAAAGAAAAATCGTGGGATTTGACTCTGCGGTTGTCGAGTTATCAATAAAAGTCGCTGAACCAAAATAATTCACGTAGGGAAGAAGAATGCAAAATGATTATTTTTCAGGGGTGAATAACTCGGGATTGGCAGAGTGAAATTCAACAAAATTTTCTTCATTTTTGAGGTATCTTTTCGGGCTTCAAAATGAGCCCTGACTCGTCCCAATTGCTTCATTTCGTCGCGAGATATTGGTGATTAAAGAAGACCTGTTTTGAATCAACTCCATGAATCATTAATTTTTTCTTTTTCATTTTTTGCAGACGATATGCAGCCGAATTTGCACTTTCCCACGAACGCCTACGACGTAGAGAACATATACGGAAAGGCTCGAACCTACCTGAACGGCAATAAACAGCTGAAGCTCCTCGCGGAGTCCCTAGAGATCGAGAAAAATGAATTACAAATAAATTACACAGCCATTGTAACATTAGCCCAAGACATTCGAGATCAGGCGCAGGCTGTCCTGACGAAATAATCGACATTAATGCCCATGTAAATACCTTAATCACTTTATTATAAAATCTCTATACATGAATAGTACGTGTAAAGATATGTTCATTCAATTTTCCATAATAAATTTTTCTTCAAACAAGAAACCACAGAAAAATGAATACTTCGTGTCATCACAACAAAGTAAATTGGAATTGTACGATATTTTTATCGAGTGGACGGATACCTAACGCATATTCTCAGATATCAATTAATTAATATTTATACTTGAAGGCACGTTCCCCTTGCACACAGATGTGGGCATATTTTCCTCGAGAAAAAACTAATCTCTATTAATACATTCACAACACTGGTAAATTCCCCCGTATAAATTATCATAATACTATTTGAGAGCTCCCCAACGACTTTACATTTTGATTGAGATGTTTACTTCAATAGAATATTGATATTAATATTAATTGTGACCCTTGGAATCAATTGTGAAATAAGGAAAATTGATTCTTCTTCTAATTGTTCGATTATCTCGATAACGAGTGATTTTAGGAGAAAAGTTCATAAGACATTTTTTGTAGCTGAGGAAATTTCCTACAAAATTGTCCTCTGACTTTTTTTTCTCACGCTATTTGTTCTCCAGATAATTGCGAATTCATCAAGGGGGTAATGAAGTTGTTTTTTGAAAAATGCAATTGGACATTTTTCTTGTTTGCGGATTTATCTTGAGAACGAGTGGTTGCACGAGAAAACTTCATGAGACTTTTTTGTAGATCACAAAATTTCCTATAAAAAAGTCCTGTGATGTTTTTCCCTAATGTCACTAGCTATCGAGATATTTATCAAGTGGAAAATCGACTGCGACGTTTTCTCCCACTACTCCACTAATAATCCACTACTCAACGAAATAAAATCTATAAACTTCAGTTTGATGAGCTCACGTAGTACGGATGATCATACCTAACGGCAGGATCACTCAAGTATGAGCACCAGGTGAAGCCCGGTGGATATCCTGGAAAATTGACACCAAGAATTAAGAGAAATCACCAAAAAACGCCATTAAAAAAAAATCCACCTCTTTTCTCCTCCAGAAAACTCCAAATATCTCCAGAACTAATGGATCCATCGAAAAAAGTCAAAATGCCTTTTTTCTAGCCCTTGAAATTCCCCACAAAAAATCTCCCACAGCTTTTTCCATAAACCCACTAGTTTCGAAGATATTCCCAATTTTCCGAGGGAAAAAACGTACGAGTTCCTCTACAAGCCTTAGAATTGTACCCAGAAATCGAAAAATGTTAGAACCAAAAATAATTCCCCAACATTAAATATGTACTTACGAATTTTTCTCAACCACAATATTTCTCTCAAGTATTTAAAGCGTGATTACGTGATAGCACAGATATTTGTTCCACTTTCCTTCCAGCTGCGTGCAACAATGGCCCATAATAAAATTAGTCAATAATTCAAAATGATAAGAGAATGAATAAAATAAAGGGGAAAATTAAAAACTGACATTGATAACCATCATTTAATAAATTTTATCTAACAGAATTACATATTCAATACGTAGAAAAAAATATATGTACTCCCGTACACAAATATATGCACTATTTTCTTTACATAGTATATTCACAATGTGTCTTATATCAGTTATGATATTTCTTATCTGAATAATTCTTTAAGTACACGAAAATTCGTAAATCCACTGATAATTCGTATCATCGAAAATTCAACAATTGGACGGAATTGCTAGTAAATGGGTCGATGATTCACAGACGTTAATTAGGGTCAGGGGAAAATCGTTAGTCGAAGAAAACTGATACAAAATAATAATCACCGTCACCAACCTAATTACGAAATTCTATGAGTGAAAATGGCATTGCGAGGCTCCTTGGTTAATCACATGAGAGACAATTAACAAATTATCACTTTAAGCAACTAGTTCTCATCATTTATAATTAAATACGATTAAAAGAATGTTCTGAGTACGATTAAAGGAGAGAAGCAGAATTATTTGCGACGTGTGGTCAACGTTTCCAGAATGTTGATCTCACTTTTCACAAAATTTAGGTAAAGTTATTCAGTAATTTCTCCCATCGAAAAATGTCTTCATTAATTTTTTTTTTTTAACAAATTGGAGAATTCTTCCATTTGAAAACAGAAAAATGCGTTTTTAAATCGCTTCTTCTTAAAAAAAGAAAGGGAAATTCAAATAAAAACTGCTGACTCCGTCGAATAATTTCCCTCATTAAAAAAAATTAATTCTTTCTTTTAAAAAAATCCAAAAAATTCCTACTGTGAGGATATCCAAGTATCTTTTACAATTTTTCTCATGCAATTTGATCGAAGAATAAACAAAACTGAATATTCAGCGTCATTCAAACTACATTTTCCAAAGAATTTTAATTTTAAAACAATCGTTTATAAATAAACGAAATCGATAAACTTTCTGCAATGTTTAACTAATAAATTCATTATTATTCAGTTGAGGCTCAACTGAAGGCCTCTGATGTTCGACTACAAAACTAAAACTAAAAAAATGTCACTGGATAAAAAAAAGGCCAAAGTACTTGGACATCCCTAATTAAAAGCCGCAGAGTCCCCGGAAATAATCCTCCCCCCTCATTTAAAATCCGGCATTTTAAATAATTGACGTAATAAAAACTTGCCTTTGGGCTTGCATTTGAGATGATCCTCAATAAACTGACAAGGACAACGGGCGAATATACAGTGACGAGGTGAAGCTGTAGATCCAATGATGACCCTGTTACGATCCTGCGAATCAACAACCAGGTCCAGCCTGTGTCTGACAAAGTTACGAGCCCATCTTGCTGCGTATCTCAGCAACAGCAGCTCCGCCCGCTCCTGCCAACACACCGTCACCAGTTTTTTTACGAGAAAAAGCCTCTTTAGAACACTTTAGCAAGCAGATGAAAGGTCTGAATCATTCAGAGGGATTAATGAGGGAGGTGAAGCTGCACTAGTGCAGAGGACCTGTCTGAAGGTCTAAATCGGAGGTTAAAGCAGACTAAAAACATCAGCAAGAGACAGGGGCGGGGGTGGGGGATGATGATTAGAATCCTCGATCCCTCAGGAAGCTGCTCCACCTGGGGCAAAAGTCTCTGCCCTGTACACGCGGTTTATTTCGCAGCCACTCCTCGATATATTGACAGGGACAGAGGGCTGATGCCAGGTGACGTGGGCATGTGGGGTTTCCACCCTCTTCGTCAACTGTCCAGTCCAATCGACGTCGCAAGTAATCTTTTCCCCAGCGCTGCACGTAACGGCATAACACTTGTTCACTTTTTCCCTGACGATGGATTACAGATTTAATTTGGGGTTTTATTCTGGGGGGAAATTTGTGAATGGGTGGAAATGGATGAATTTTTGGGTAATTATTTCTTCAATTTTGGACTCCGGTTTTGATGAGGCTTTTTAAATTCATTAGGTGCAGGAATTTTTTTTCTTTTTGTAAATTCACTCTTTTTATATTTTTTTAGAATTGAGAAAGAGTTAAACAAAATGGATTGAATTTTTTATCGTCATTTTTTGAATGTTATTATCACTTTTTGAAGAATGAATTTGAATTTTTTTTAATTCATGAGATGTAGCAATTTTTTTCTTTTTTATTCACACAATGAGTTCCTCTGTGAAAATAAATTCTTCATAAAATTACTCTTTCTTTTAAAAAATCCCTGCATTTTACGGAAATTGACATTCAAATATTTTTTTAGAATGGAGAAAGAGTTAAACAAAATGGATTAAATTTTTTAACGTCATTTTTTGAATGTTATTATCACTTTTTGAAGAATGAATTTGGATTTTTTTTAATTCATGAGATGCAGCAATTTTTTTCCTTTTTGTTCACACAATGAGTTCCTCTGTGAAAATAAATTCTTCATAAAATTACTCTTTCTTTTAAAAAATCCCTGCATTTTACGGAAATTGACATTCAAATATTTTTTTAGAAAAGAGAAAGAGTCAAATGAATGAATGAATTCAATTTTTTAACATAATTTTCTGAATGTTATCATCATGTTTTGAAAAATGATTTTCAAATTACTTTCCCTATGAAAAATCAACCTCAAAATGCCCAGACGTTAGCAAGAAAAATCAAGCAATCTTATCTGAATCAGCCACTTCTTCACTGAAATAGTTATCTGTACTGCTCACCAGGAAAACGTAGGTTTCCAACAATCGTCTCCCATTGAACACAAAAAAATCGATGTCATGCTGATAATTGTTATCTCGAAGCTACCGTTTGACTCACCTGTTTACGAGACAGTCTTGTAGTGGATGAGCCTTGAATAACAATATCACTGTCGTCAATGTCCATTCGCTGCTGCAACTCCTGTCTCCTGCGCTGCATTTCACTCGTGTCATCACCACCAATCACCCGACCGTCTCGTTCCTCCCTTTCAATGACCTCTTGCAATTTTTTCTGACAAAAACAAAATGTGAATTAATTTGCATTAATTTATTTACAAGCGTCTATCAATTTTTTCTCAATTCTTTCTCCCGTTCTCCCAATTTTTGTGGACAAAAATGAATATAAAAATGAATGGGACTGTTTTCTCAAGTAAAAATAAAAGAAAAAAACTTCTAAATTATTTTTAAATAGTAGTGTTTCCCACAAAAAATCAAGGAAAAATGTCTTACAATGCAATCAGTCGTGTCAAAGTAAATGAAGCACAAGTTGACTTTGTGACACGATATCTTCCCCCTGTCATCCAGCCCCAGCAGAATCTTGTGACGCAACAGGTGTTTATTCACCTGAGCCATGCACTTCTCCAAATTGTGATTGAGTTTTATCTTCACGAACATGCAGAGGAATATTGCCGCTGCATTCATGATGAGCCACATTATCCCGAGACCGAAGAGAGTCAGGCCTGTCACCCCCGAGAACAAAAGCCCCAGGAGAATGACGAAGGCTGTGAATATCCAGAGGACGAGAATGCGCTTGTAGCAGATGTTGTACATGTTGAAGCGCACGTCGTTGACCAACAGCTCCATTATGTGGACGTAATCTTCCACGGTTAGCTGGAACGATCGTCGGTGTATTCATTTTTTTATTGGGGGTAGGTTGTGGGGTCTGATTATTTTTAGAGTTGAGAGAAAAGTTGGAAGTTCAGATTTGATTGAAGGTTTAAGAATATGTTATCAATTTTCGGGGAATAATTTGACTGAAATTCACATTTTTCAGCCATTTTTCTTCAAATTTTTGAAGTTTCAATGACGAATTTAGCTAAATAAAGACGAATGGGTTGTTTCCCCAAGTAAAAACAAAAGAAAAAGCCTTTCAAATTGTTTTTAACTAATATCATCAATTTTCGTGGAATAATTTGACTGAAATTCACATTTTTCACTTATTTTTCTCTAAAATTTTGAATTTTCAGCGACGAATTTGGCGAAATAAAGACCAACAGGGTCGTTTCCCCAAGTAAAAACAAAAGAAAAAGCCTTTCAAATTGTTTTTAACTAATATCATCAATTTTCGTGGAATAATTTGACTGAAATTCACATTTTTCAGCCATTTTTCTTTAAATTTTTGAATTTTTAATGACGACATTAACGAAACAAATAAAACAGTGTTGTTTCCTCCAATAAAAATGGAAGAAAATGCCTTTTAAATTATGTTTAACTAGTTGTTCTCAATTTTCGTGGAATAATTTTACTGAAATTCACATTTTTCACTTATTTTTCTCTAAAATTTTGAATTTTCAGCGACGAATTTGGCTAAATAAAAACAAATAGGGTCGTTTCCCCAAGTAAAAACAAAAGAAAAAGCCTTTCAAATTGTTTTTAACTAATATCATCAATTTTCGTGGAATAATTTAACTAAAATTCACATTTTTGCGCCATTTTTCTTTAAAATTTTCAATTTTCGATGACGAAATTGAAAAATGAGTTTCCGATACTTTAAACAATTTCAGTTATCCCTTTACAACCAACGATTACTTAAAAAAATAATTCTCTGCAGAATGTAATTTTAATGACGCTGAACGCTCTCGATTATTTTCAAATGTTTCTCACGCAATTCAATCGAAAAATTTGACGGTGGTACTTAAATACTCATTTTCCCACTCAAGTTTGACCCAAAAAATAAAATGAAAAATCTCTCACTGTAAGTCCCTGAGCCATGAGTTCCTCCGGCACGAGTTCCGGGCGGAATTTGGCAGGCGTGATCCAGGGCCACCTCGTGTTCACCGGCAGCAGGGTGACAATGGTGTCCCCATTGGCGAATCCTCGCCTTATGTTGCCGATCGGCGTACTAATAACATTATTAACGTGACTCCTCCCGTTCGAGGTATCCCTGAGGTCAATAGTCTTCAAAGAGGCACTTTTTGGGTCCGGAGTTTTGCCGTCCGAAGGCACATTGTTCTCGGGACTGTCCGAGGATATCGATCGGCTCAGTCCCGATCTGTCTAAGTTAAGTTGGACGGATTCGGTTGCTATCACAGCTCCACTGTACTCGCTGCCCCTCGGGGTCTTCCCCTCGGTCTCCTCGATGGATTTCTTTATCTTCTCGGGGTCGATGGCCACCGCCTCGGACAGAGAGTTCTCCGGGCGATCGCGATTTTCCCGGCGCTTTGGGGACGGGAGGGCACCCGCCACGGGCTCCTCCTCGAACTGCACCCAGTTCCTCGTCTTCTCGGAGATTTCACTGATTTTTGGTATCGCTGCGCTGTCCGGAGTGTCCGTTGACCCTGGAGAACTCATTTTTGTCCACTGGTTTCACGCTGGTGGACTTCAAGCACTTCGGTTCTTCGGTTAGTCGAGGGGAATGCTAAATGCGGCGGTTCGGGGGGCTCGGGGACAGCTCGATCATAATTTCAATGCTCATGAGATCTGGAATTGGGAAAAATTGATCGAAACGAAATTAATTTTTTTGTTTTTTGGAAAAATCTCGGAATTGAAGGGGCGTAGCGAAAAATTGGTAAGGACCTTTTTTGTGGGCGAGGAAAAGAGCTACAAAAAAGGTCCTGAGGAGTTTTTTTGTAGCTCCTCTAGATTTGAAGATATCTAGGATAAAATGAATATGGGGTCAGTTTTTGTTGGGAAGCGGTTTTTGAGCAGTATTTTGAGTTTTAAGGGTTTATTATGGGGAAAATTTGGGATTGCAATCTTTCAGGGGATGGTGGGAACTGCGAACAAGATCCTTAGAAAATTTTCCCTAGTTGTTTTCAATTTTAACATGTTCAGTACAAAATAAAAGTCAAAAAAATTAATTAAATTCAGTTTTCGTTGGATATCTTCGCATCTAAAGGACATACCAAAAAACTTCTAAGGACCTTTTTTGTAGAGGTGGAGGAGAGCGACAAAAAAGGTCCTGAGGAGTTTTTCGGTATCTCGCCCCGCTCCGAAGATATCCAGCAAAAACCGCTCCCAAAAAAAAATTCATTCAAACTCTCGTTTTTTGCGAATATCTCAGGATCCAAAGGAGCTAGCAAAAATCTTCTTAAGACCTTTTTTACAGCCCAGACCTTCCCCTACAAAAAATGTCATTACAAGCAAATCGCTATCTCTATTCAATCCCGAGATAATCTCAAATGAAAAACGAACTTCATCTCGTTCCGCGAATTCCCAACAAATCAATTCTCCAAACTCAAATGCGAACAGATTGAGCCACTTCTTACCAACAATAAACAACAATTTAACACAATTAGCAACAACGGAGTAATTCAAATCAATCAGGTCAATCCGCCATCTTTCGGAGGTTTCGCGTATGTAAATAATAATAAAAACAGGGAGTGCCCGAGGAGCTCCGAAAAATCGGAGCAATCGACCTGATTCGGACGAATGGAGCGTAATTGAACGGGAGTGATGATCCCGGAAGTCCCCAGACCTCACCCTCCCCCAGTCCCACTCCGAATTTGCGCATATTTACGCAAGAATATGCGAACAGACCTCACTCCAGAGTCCGGACATCTCCACTGCACCAATCACTTGGAGTTTAATGCGAGGATCACGTTTTTGTCGACCCGATGACGCGAGATCTGCCCCAACGAGTCGTTCTAGAATATTTTAATACTCCGTTTAATCACTCACCCGATCAGGTTACCGTGGCTGCTCCGAGCGTGTGTGCACAGCTCCATCGTATGTACTATCGAGGTGTTCTCGTTGCAGGTAAAAAGAGGCAGGGAGTGTAGTTTGGGCAATCGTTACCTGGCGGTCGGCGCTGACAACAGGGTAGAGGTCACGCGGATAATTTAGAGTGAAGGAAAGGAGTGATCATCGAATGTTGGTAAATTAAGGGGAGTGGTGGAGAGTTGTGAATGAATTAATTAAAATGACAGAAAGAATTTTTTTTTATTCATGAATTAATTTAATTTACTGCTGTTGATGACTCAATTGTTTAAATTATGAGGAGTAGGGCTTGTTTCAGGTTAAATTGAGGATCAGTAAATAAATGAATTGAAATGATGAAAGGGATTTTTTTAAAGAATTAATTTAAAGTATTGAGAATGAAAGGGTTTTATGTTTTATGTTGATTTTTGTTGTTTATGGCTCAATTGTTTAAATTATGATGAATAGGACTTGTTTCAGGTGAAATTGCGTATTAGAAAATAACCAAATGAAAATGAAACGAATTTTTTTAATTAATGGAATTATCCATTAATTAAATTATCCATTTAATTAAAAAATTAGCATAGGAAAGGTTTTGTTTTAGTTTTATATTAATTATTATTGTTAATGGCTCAATTGTTTAAATTCTGATGAGTATGACTCATTTCAGATTAAATTAAGCGTTAATAAATAGATAAATAACAATAAAACAAATAAATGATTCTGAATTAATGAAGGAAATGAAATAAAAAAATTGGGAATGAAAGAGTTTTCTTTTTTTTTAATTTCATGTTAATAATTGTTAAATTATCATGAAACAACTACTCTTCATTTTAGGTTAAATTGAAAATCATATGAATGAATATGTTTGCGAGGAGAGGATTGCAGGCGATTTTTTTCATGGGACGAAGAATAAAGACTTCGGTTCTCAGAGCCCCCAGTAGGCGATTTTATTCTCGTGCAGATACTTTGGGGTCCAGGGGGATGATTACAGGACTGGGTTTTCTGAGCTTCTTCGGTTTTGGGAAGGAAGAGGAGGAACTGGAGCCCGAACTCATCACGACGATCAAACGATCTATTTTGTTGATTCAAGTAATTGAAGGATGAAAATTTATTCAGTCGACTTTTTGGAAATATCTCTGAATCTAAAGGAGATAGCAAAAATGTTCACTAGACCTTTTTTGTAGCTGTTATTTTTCCGCACAAAAAAGGTCCTGAGAAGATTTTTCGCATCTCCTTCAGATACAAAGATATTTTCGATAATCAGATCCATTTTAAATGGAATTAATCCAATTTAAAGAAATTAAGTCACTGAATTGTTGATGCGCCCTCAATTCTAGAAAGGCGAATACAAAAAGGCTGAGCAGATGCTCCACATCGCCCTCCGGCAGGCCCAGACCCTCCAGCACTACGACGGAATAACATACGTCTACGACGTAATGGCAAATCTGGCATTTGAGGTTCAAGAAGTGGAGAAGGCGAAAAAACTATTTATTTCTGTGATGCAGCGACTGATGTCGACTGGAACAACCGAGGGGGACATGAAGATGATCCACATCAGTCTGAAGCTCGCGAAATTGTACGAGATGAGTGGAGAACCTGGGTAAGCGGTGGGTTCCCATTTTTTAATGAGAATTTTTCCCTTTTTTTGCTGTTGAACCCAAATTTTTTCTTCACCTCGAAAAAATTTTCTATCAAACAAAAATAATATTTCATTACGTAAAATATAATACAAGGGTCAGAAGTGGCCCCGTGATTGCCCCACTGTCGCCTCATTAATTAACAAATAAAAAACGTTAACAAGAAATAAATTCATTAACAAATAAAACTTGTCTGAGTTTTCGAGGAATATCTCAGATTCTAAGGGAGATAGCGAAATTTTCGTGATGACCTTTTTTGTAGAGCAAATCGGGATCTTCAAAAAAGTTCATTACAAAAATTTCGCTATCTCCCTCAGATTCCGAGATATTCATAGAAAACAAATCAATAGTCTGAAATGTTCTTCATCTCGCGAAAAATTTCTATCAAATAAAAATATTTCATTACGTATAAGACAATTACAGGGTCAGTAATGGCCCTGTGATTCCCCCAGACCTTCGCCTGTAACAAATGAATAAATAAATTGAATAAGTGAATTATTTTTCCAGTAAAGCAGAGGATGGCTACAACTTCTGTCTCAAGCACCTCGTGGACCACGCGAGGGAGACCCCAGAGGACGAGGACGTCCTCCTCCTCTGGGGTATGACCCTCGACTGGTACGGTAAGATGCTCCTGTCGCAGTCCCGCCTGAGCGAGGCCTTAAAGTGCTACCAACAGGCTCACAAATTGTGCCACCAAGTCCATGGAGATGAGCACCAACAGACAGTCGTTCTCCTGAATGACTTGGGGACTGTTTACTGCCGTCTGGGGGAGTACGATCAAGCACTGGGGCATCTCTCCGACGCAATACTAATCGGTAAAGTCATGTTGAGTCGCAGTTTTTTTTATTTTTATTTTTCATCAATTTTTTTTTTCACTGTTCATTTTCAACAATTTTCTCCTTTTATTCACTTTTATTCTATTTTAGCAGCTTGATTAACTGAGAATAAGTTAATTGGAATAATTATTCAAATGAATTAATTCATTTAATTCAATTAATTCAAATACATTAATTAAGTTTTTAATTTATTCAACTCAAATTCAAATGAATTAACTCAATTAATTCATTTCAGTCCATTTTAGCAGACTGAATGACTGAGAATTAGTTAATTGGAATAATTATTTGAATGAATTAATTCATTTAATTCAATTAATTCAAATACATTGATTAAGTTTTTAATTTACTCAACTCAAATTCAAATGAATTAACTCAATTAATTCATTTCAGCCCATTTTAGCAGATTGAATGACTGAGAATTAGTTAATTGGAATAATTATTCAAATGAATTAATTCATTTAATTCAATTAATTCAAATACATTAATTAAGTTTTTAATTTATTCAACTCAAATTCAAATGAATTAACTCAATTAATTCATTTCAGTCCATTTTAGCAGACTGAATGACTGAGAATTAGTTAATTGGAATAATTATTTGAATGAATTAATTCATTTAATTCAATTAATTCAAATACATTAATTAAGTTTTTAATTTACTCAACTCAAATTCAAATGAATTAACTCAATTAATTCACTTCAGTCCATTTTAGCAGATTGAATGACTGAGAATTAGTTAATTGGAATAATTATTTGAATGAATTAATTCATTTAATTCAATTAATTCAAATACATCAATTAAGTTTTTAATTTACTCAACTCAAATTCAAATGAATTAACTCATTCAATTCATTTCATTTTCCTCAATTGAACTATTCAATTGATTATCAATTTAATTCCTTAGACATCGTCTTTAATCCATTACTTACACAATAATTTACGCATTCTATTCATTAAACAGGACAAAAACTGCCTGAAATGTCAGACTTGAGTTCGATTCACGTAAACATGGGTAACGTTTACCTGAAGAGAAGTTTGTACAACGAGGCACGCGACGCCTGTTACACGGGGCTGAAGTTAGCTAAAAAAAACAATGATACTGAGTGCCAGGAGCAAGCGAACGCTTGTCTCGAGGAGGTGAAAAAACTACTGAGTCAATAATGACGATATTTACAGTGGGAAAAATCCAGGCTGATGTCATGAATCGACAGTGACGATTCCAGGAGACAATTTACAACAGAAAATAACAGAAAAAAAATGTAAAAAAGGATTACCTACAGCTATTTCCTTACAAAAATACCATCCCTCCTGGGAATTGACGGGGCGAACGACTTTGTAAATATTGTACAATAGAAAATTATCACAGGCTGTTCAATCCTGTACGATTCGATGATTTCCTTTCGATTGAGAATAATTTCATTCACTCGTATTGGGCAATCAGCACCATCATGTAGACTCCTAGGAGGAGGGCGGCTATTTCCTTCAGGGACTGCCAGAATTTTGTGTCTGTCAGAAGCTCTGGGATCACTGATACTGTCGCGATGTAGATGAAACCTCCTGCTGTGAATGGGAGAATCCAAGCTGTTGCAAAATCCCCTGGAATTATCAAAATCATCATAAAAAAAATTTATTTCAACTGCAGAAGTTTAGTTCATTTTTTTTAGCGTGAATAAATGAAATTTATTCACTCACCGACGATAATAAAAGTAAAATAAATAATTAAACGAAAGAAAATGACTTAAATCATAAGAAAATGGTGAAACCAAGATTTTGTTTTATTGATATCTTTGAATCTGAAGGAGATAGCAAAATTTTTGTCGAGATCTTTTTTGTAGAGCAGAATTAGAGCTACAAAAAGTGTCTTCATGAGAAATTCTCTATCTCTGCTAGATTCTGAGAAATTTAAGAAAAACTGGAAAAGTGAATGTTAAATTATTGAAATTTCTAGTCATGTTGATGGCAGCTGCTTACCCATTCCTTCAGCAAGGAGGGACACATAAGTACCACAGAGAGCGCCAACAGCTGTTGTCAGTTGCAACAGCATCGCCTGTAATCAACAATAAAAACAAATTAAAAACTATTCTTCGTCCAACTCTAGTGGTGAAATACCCCGCTTTGATCTTCAATAACTCGAGAACGGCAGAGTGAAATCACCCCCTTCCTCCTTCATTTCAAAGATATTTTTTCAGAGTTTAAAATGAGATGTGACTCGTTGAAATCGCATCATTCGTTCACGAGATATTGAAGATTTAGTTCGTAAGATGTAAAAATCCCTGAGAATAAAATCCTGAAAAACGTTCCTCAATTATAAAACTAAATAAAACAACTTAAATAACATAAATTCCCCCCGAATTAATAAGTTTTCTTCCTCTCCCTCCGTCCCTCCTCCCCCAGAACCTAAAAAATCCGAATCTCTCGGATTAAATAAAAACAAAAAATAATGAAAAATGAAAAAATCGAACCTTTCGTTTGCTGCATCCGCTCTGAATGAGAATGGCGAAGTCCCCGATCTCATGTGGCACCTCATGAAGCAGAATGGTGACAGTGGTGATGTACCCGACGCTCTCCCCGGCGAGATAGCTGGCCCCAATGGCGAGTCCATCCGTGAAATTATGAAGAAAGTCAGCAGCAAGATTGAGATACCCAGCGATTTTAATTTCCCCAGGAGGGGCCGCAGTCTCCAGCTTCTTCCCCTTGTCCTTCTTGCCCTTCTCCTCCTTCCCAGAGTGGCCGTGCGAGTGGCAGTGGTCGCCCTTGACCAGCCTGATGCCCTTCTCCACGACGAGGAAGACGATGATCCCCAGGAGGACGCAGAGCCCAACAGTCATGTCGTGCTCGTGGTGGTGCCCCTCGTGTGAATGCTCGTGCCCCTCGTCCCCATGGGAGTGTGGCAGCAGAGCGTGAGGGATCAGGTGGAGGAAGGCGTCCCCCAGGAGTCCCCCAGAGGCGAAACTCAGGAGGATTTTTAGCAGGGGCTCTCGTTCCTTCGTGTTGTCCAGGGGAACGAAGAACAGGAGGACGAAGGGGGCTGCTGAGATCAGCAGGGTCGACCCCATGGCCTTCAGCAGGACACTCCCCTGCTCCTCAGGCCTGAGCTTCCTCCTGGGGTCCTCGTGGTGATGATCCTGATGATGATGATCATGATGATGATGATCGTGTGGGGGCTTCACCCCCTCGAAATTCTCGTTCGCCTGTCTCGAGTACTTGAAGCTCGCAGGCACGTCGTCATGATGATCGTGATCGTGATGATGATCATCAGGATGGTGGTGGCCCTGGGACTGACACAGAGCAGGAAAATCCAGGAAGATTATCAGGACGATGGCAGCCAGGGCGAGCTTGATCCAGACGGTGTGTTTACCCCACGATAACGTGGCTTCTGCCCCGTCCTCTCTCCTCCCCATTTTGATTATTAGTAATTTGGTGGTTAATTAATTCAATCCAGTGATCAACACTGCATGGAGCCCTGGTGGCTGTCAGGGATGGCTCTCCCTGCTGAGGGCTGCGGTTTCGAGGGCAATTCAATTTTTAATACGATACGTACTCACTACTCCCGCAGATAATAGTTCCTACTGCGTCAATTCGACGTGGCCAGAATGATGAGTGATCGAAGCTGCCTGCAGAGGCGCTAGACAATTCAGCGGAATTTATCTCGTGTTTTTCCGGTCGATGCTCAACACTTGGGAAATGTTTTGCAGTCGAATTTCTCGTGTTTGTTATTTTTTTTGATTGATTGTTTGGCTGGAATTGCGAAAGTGGGGAAGTCATTCGGGGAGATGAAGCCTGCGCCGGATCCTAAGGAGGTTCAGGTAAATTCTGAAGGGATTATGACGCTAAGGGGTGCAGGGGTGATTTTGGAAATTCAATTCGCCGGTCGAGTTTATGTTATTTATGTAATGCAGGAGTTTAGCTATTTTTGGGGCTGTTTTTGTTGGGGGTATTGTTATCTTTTTTGGGGGGAGAGGGGGCAGTGGGATTTGACAATGCGAATGGTTTTGATATTGTTTCTGGGGGATTCTAACCTCTAATGGGGTTATTCATGATGGAACGGAGGGATTTGTTTCAATTTTTATAGAAATGGAGTTTTATATGTGAAATTCAGATTTATGGGACTGAATGGTTTCATTAATTTTTTTGTCCTCTCTTCTATCGATTTATTTCAATTAATTGGCAATGCATTCCCTTTTTTATTTTTAATTATTCCTTCGTTGAATGCTTTTTGAAAATTTTTATTACGAGACATTTATTTCAGTGAATTATCAATGAATTTCCTGTTTTTTATTCTGAAATACTCCTTCATTAAATATTTATAAAAATTCTAATGACGTAACAGTTCCCCTGAAATTTCAAGGACTTTCTTCATTAAAAAATCGCAACAACATTCGAATTATTCCCCGTAAAATTCAAATAAACCGAGAAACAGCTGACAAACATCAAAAATAAAAAAAGCCACATCATCACAATAACTGCAATAAAAACGAAACATCGAAATGCCAAATAAACAACTAATCCCCTTACGGAAAAAAAAATGAATAAAATTCTCGCTCCAGCACTTCCAGTTCAAGGAATCGGGGTCCCGGCAGGTCTGCGAGGCCCTGAAGCCGATCCCCAGGGCGTGCAGCCTGCTGGCAACCGACTGCAAGCGCGGTCTGATCTACGCGGCCCACAGGAACTCGATCACAGTCCTCCCCTGTTCCGAATCCCCCCCGACCCACCACCTCCAGCACTCCCTCCCCCTCTGCATCACGCGGATCTCCCTGAGCTGTGACTTCTCCTACCTGGGGGTGACCTTCGCCTCCTCGACAGCGCACATCTACTCGGCGTCGTCCCTCAGCAAGCACTTCCCAGAGCTCCTCCACGAGATCCAGTTGTCCTCCTCCCCCCAGTCAGTCTTCGCCTACGACCTGAAATGGAACCCCTCGATCCCCGGGAATTTCTGCACAATCTCCAGCGACGACTCCATAGGCTCGTTCTCCCTCAAGCTGGAGCAAAAGTCGACAGTGAGCATAACAGCCCTGGAAAAAATCCAGGGGCTCTCCCCCACCTGCGTCGCCTGGAGCCCAAAGGGCAAGCAGCTGGTGGTCGGCTGCAAGAACGGCAGCATAATCCAGCTCAAGCCGGAGCTGAAGGTCGCGAGGAGTCTGCCAGGTTTGTTTTTTTTTTTCGAACGTCATCTCAATTGTTTTTCCATCTCCATAATGTAAAATCTGTCATGAATTGGTAAACCAGGATAAGTGATTTTCGCTCAGGGTCAATTATTGATGAATATCTTGGAAATGGACATAGTTAGAGAAATTTTTGTGAAGAGCTTTTTTAGAGCTGACATTTGGCTCCATAAAAACGATTTTCATGAAAATTTCGGTATCTTTCTTCGTTTTCAAGATATTCATCGATGATTGCGACTAAGCAAAATGCAGTTATCGCACATCTACTCGGCGTGAACTGATGTTCACGTTTTTTCAATTTTTCTGGCAAACTTATGACGGAATTGACGTGAAAAAATACAAATACGTTTTTGCGTTTTGTCATTATTCAATGACTGACGAAATTTTGCGAGCATTTTCCTGCGTTTTCTCTAAATTTTTAAAAAGAATCCCAAAACTAGAAAAAACGCATCCACTACGCAACTTCGTGAGCCATTAAAGAATGACAAACCACAAAATCGCTATCTCACACCAGTTAAGATGTCTATAATATGTGCCTCTATCAAATTTAGCAGAGTAAGCCTGATGGTTTAAGGATGTTCTCCACCCTTTCTGCCAAAATTCACGTTTTTTCAATTTTTCTGGCAAACTTATGACGGAATTGACGTGAAAAAATACAAATACGTTTTTGCGTTTTGTCATTATTCAATGACTGACGAAATTTTGCGAGCATTTTCCTGCGTTTTCTCTAAACTTTTAAAAAGAATCCCAAAACTAGAAAAAACGCATCCACTACGCAACTTCGTGAGCCATTAAAGAATGACAAACCACAAAATCGCTATCTCACACCAGTTAAGATGTCTATAATATGTGCCTATATCAAATTTAGGAGAGTAAGCCTGATGGTTTAAGGATGTTCTCCACCCTTTCTGCCAAAATTCACGTTTTTTCAATTTTTCTGGCAAACTTATGACGGAATTGACGTGAAAAAATACAAATACGTTTTTGCGTTTTGTCATTATTCAATGACTGACGAAATTTTGCGAGCATTTTCCTGCGTTTTCTCTAAACTTTTAAAAAGAATCCCAAAACTAGAAAAAACGCATCCACTACGCAACTTCGTGAGCCATTAAAGAATGACAAACCACAAAATCGCTATCTCACACCAGTTAAGATGTCTATAATATGTGCCTCTATCAAATTTAGCAGAGTAAGCCTAATGGTTTAAGGATGTTCTCCACCCTTTCTGCCAAAATTCACGTTTTTTCAATTTTTCTGGCAAACTTATGACGGAATTGACGTGAAAAAATACAAATACGTTTTTGCGTTTTGTCATTATTCAATGACTGACGAAATTTTGCGAGCATTTTCCTGCGTTTTCTCTAAACTTTTAAAAAGAATCCCAAAACTAGAAAAAACGCATCCACTACGCAACTTCGTGAGCCATTAAAGAATGACAAACCACAAAATCGTTATATTTTCACGTCACTCCCCTCGATAATTTGCCAGAAAAATGAAAACAACGTCAATTTTCGCTAAAAGGGTGTCGAACCTCCTTAAATGCTTGAAATAAAAAAACCCTGCGTCCGGCAGGTCCCTCCCCGAGCCTGGGCGAGGCCCTGGAGATAACCTGGATCAGCAACTACCAGTTCTGCGCGGCCTACTCCGACCCCTCGGACCGCCGAATAAACGTCCTGATAATCGACGCGCCCAAGGGCGAGGCCACGGCGACCTTCACGAACTACGAGGACATCACCTTCGGCATGCCCCCGGGGGAGGACGCCCCCAGGTACTACATGGAGCACATCCCCGAGTGGAACGTGATCCTGGCGGGGAGCAGTTGCAGCTCTGAGGTGGCGCTGCTGGGGTCGAACGACAACGGCGTCAGCTGGGAGCAGTGGCTGCTGATCGACAGCGGTAGGGCGGGTCTGCCCTGCATCCGAGGGGACGAGACGTTCCCCGTGGGCATCAGCATCGACAAGTCCCCGCAGGAGGTCCTCCCCTGGGACGACGGGGGCTCTCTCCCCCACCCGATGCCGATGCTCCACATCTTCGACAACTCTGGGAGAATGATGTCATTCCACATGGTTAACTTGGCCCCCAGTGCCCCCACGTTGTGCTCGGCCCCTTGGGAACCAGTGACGATAGCCTCTCCCCCCCCTCCCCAGGAGCAGACCCCCAGGACGAGTTTGCTGCCCTCGGAAATATCTTTTGCTGTGAGTTCGGCAGTGACGAGCACTCCCAGACCGAAGGCGAGTGAGATCGTTGGGGTCAAGCCCCAGGTCGCCGCGAACCTCTTCGAGGAGAGGATGAGGTCTGCTGCTGGCCAGGGGGTTGTTCCCCCTGCGCCACCTGCAGGGCAGCCCCAGCTCCCCCAGAGCAACCAGAAGCCCAGGGCTGACCTGGTGGAGTCAGTCCAGAAAGTGGAGAGTCGTCCACCGAAGGATCAGGGACCTCCCCCTCCAGAGAAACCCCTCATCGACGAGAGCATCTGCCTCCGGGTTTACAGGGAAGAGCACAGTCTATTCGAGAGTGAGCTGAAGCAGAAGCTCGAGCCCCAGACCTTCGAGTGTGGCACTGATGACGAGAAGAAGAGGCTGACAGTGCTGTCAACCCAGATCGAGGACTTCCTCGGGGAGCTCAGGGAGACCACCAGCAGCCTCTCCAGCGACATATCGTACCTGAAGGCTCTTCTGCTCCAGTCCTTCGCCTGGATCGAGGAGACCAAGTCCAGGAACTCGTCGAATCCCCTCGACAATCGGGAGCGCCACGACAAGACGAAGATAAAGGAGCTCCAGCGCTCGTATTTCAACACTCAATCGCAGCTGGTGCAGGCGACGAAGGCCCTGGACATGGACTGGGCCGAGTGTCAACTTCGGGAAAAATCGAAGATGAAGATCCCAAGCCTGGAGTTCGTCTACCAGAGCCTGAAGCGTCACGCGGAGATAATCGCCAAGGAGAAAGCGAACTTGGAGGTTCACATTCAGAAGTGGAGAGTGCTGTCGAGGAGCTCCAGGGTGACGAGTCTCAACCGTTCGATGTCGAAGCTGAGTCTGGGGAAGGGTTCGTTGAGCGCAGTGAATGGAGCCAGCGTCGATGGGATTGAGATTCGCTGCAGGACAATCGCCAGCAACACCAAGAACTTCAGCAGAGACAAGCAAATTAAGCTGAGGGACATTCTGCTGCAGACGAAAACGAGAATCGTGAGGACGATGAATCCGTCGCCAGTGCAGGACAGGCTGGAGGCTACACTGTCCTCTCTGGCGTCGCTGAGTCCAGTTCCAGCTCCAGCGAAGCCCAGGGCAGTTCCCAAGGTGATCCCAGAACGTGCGATCCAGACTCCAACGACAGCTAAACCCTCGTCGAGTTTTCTGGGTTTATCGAAACCTCAGGCTGCAGCGAGTGCTCCTGCAGCTGCTGCTCAGCCCTCGGCGTCGATTCCCCCTCCAGCAGTGGAGAAATCCGTTCCGTCGAGTCCTCTGGCCTCGCTGAACTCAATCGTAGCGCAGATTGGGGGATCTGGGGATAAGAAGCCGTCGATTCCCTCGAGTAAATCCCAGCCTCTGCAGTTCTCCATGGGCTTGCCGTTCTCCCAGGGCTTCGAGGCTCCAGAGAAGAGCAATCTCTCTTCTAATTTGCAACTGGGGAAGCCTGTGGCTCAGGTCAGCGTCCAGCCTGCTGGGAGCCAGCCTCCAGCGCCATTCTCCAAGATCCTGAACGTCTCCTTCGGGAGTGGTGAGCAGAAATCAGGGGAGAATGCATCGAACTCCAGGGAGAGTGCCAGCAAGACCGAGAGTATTTCATTTGGCAGCAAGGACGCCCAGTCAGCTGCCAGCACTAGTCTCTTCTCTGAGGGTCTCTTCAAAACCTCAGGGCTGACGATAACGAAGACACAGCAGTCGCCTCCACAGGGTCAGGGGTCGACCCTGGGGCCAGGTCTGTCGATCTCGTTCAAGGAGAATCCAGCTGCGACCACTCAGAGTGTCTTCAGCTTCGCCAGTCCCCCTGCGTTCTCCACTCCAGCGGCGACAGTGCCGTCCTCCAGCCAAGGGGCCCTCGACCTCTCAGGACTGACGGTTGGGTTGTCAGGGAAAACAGCAGCTGACACGACCTCGACAACGTCAATGTTCGGAAAGTTGTCGATTCCAACTCCTAATTTAGCTTTTGGAAAATTCCCCAGTGGTCCCACAGCTTCAGCAGCTCCAACAGCTTCTCCAGGGGCTCCAGCAGCCCCCCAAGAGGTGAAAGTCTCCGTGAGTTTGCCAGCAGGAACAACAATAGAGAAACAGCCAGTCACCACTTCGTCGACTCCAGTGTCATCCCCATTATTTGGGACTTCGAAGCCATCTGGAAGTATTTTCGGTGGCCAGAGCGGCCTCTCCTCCTCGATGTTCGGCGGAGCAGCTGCCAGCACCTTCCCAACCCCCACGTCACTGCCGTCGACGTTCAATTCTCCTCAGCCTGCGGCCCCCGCAGCCACCACAGCCCCAGCGTTTGCCGCCAGCCCCTTCTCCCCAGGTATAACATCGCTAGCCGGGTCATTCATTTATCTCACGTCCAGTATTCAAATCCATCTTTATAATACAATAGCGAAACGGTAAACCGGGTCAAGTCGATTTTTCCTTTTGGCCATGTTTTGATGAATATCTCGGAATCTAAGAGAGATAGCAAAATTTTGCTCATGACCTTTTTTGTAACCCTCAGTTGGCTCCACAAAAAAGGTTCTGACAACAATTTTTGTATCTCTTTTAGATTCCGAGATATTCGTGAAAAACTGGCCAACAGTTAAAATCGACTTAACCCGGTCTATCACTTCGCTCCTGAATAGTTTGGTAATGATTGGGATAACATTAGTATTCGAATATCTTCAAAGGTACTATACCTTCTCCCCAGCTTCTGTGACGACAGCCCCAGCCACGACTGTCTCTCCCTTCGGTGGCTCTCCGACCTTCAGCTCGGCCTTGAACACTGGAATGTCAAGCCTCAACTTCGGGAAATTAACTTCTTCAGGGGACTCAGCCCCTGCCGCCTCCATCTTCGGTATGAGCTTCGCTGCGCCGACGACGTCGTCCCCAGGATCGATTTTCGGACAGGCCTCGTCGGTCCCCTCGTCGTCCACAGCCGGTTCCATCTTCGGGAAGGCCTCCAGCACGACGACAGCCTCAGGCTCGATCTTCGGACAGCCCTCGACGGTTTCACCAGTGACCACAGCCTCGGGGTCGATCTTCGGAGGCGCCTCCACCACGACGACGCCCTCAGGCTCGATCTTCGGACAGCCCTCGACGATTTCACCAGTGACAACAGCCTCAGGACCGATTTTCGGAGGGGGAGGGCTCCCCCAGGGCCAGACGAGTCCAGCGGGTGGGATTTTCGGGGCTCAGGGAGGGGGTAATTCTATATTCGGGGGGTCCCCAGGGCCGTCAGCAGGAATTTTCGGGGGAGGAGGACAGGCCCCAGCAGCGGAGGGGGGTTCGATCTTCGGGGGCGCCCCTGCAGCTCCCTTCGGCTCCCCAACGTCTCCATCGATGTTCGGGGGTGCGAAACCCACTGGTGGAAGCATCTTCGGGGGTTCCGCCACCTTCGGCTCCCCAATGGGGCCACCAACGTCTCCCCCAGCTCCGGCCTTCGGTGGAGCGCCTGCTTTCGGGGCTAAACCGGTCTTCGGAGCAGCTCAACCTGTCTTCGGCTCCCCCAAACCTGAGTTCGGGGGGAATGCCTTCGGGGGACAGCCGACTTTTGGAAATCCTGGGGGTTTCACCACTTCGCCAACAATGGGGGGATCCCCTGGGCTCGGGGCTCCAGCCATGGGGAAGGTGTTTGGAAGCCCTGGGAACTCGACGTTTGAATCACTCGCTGGACAGAATGGGGGCATGACTTTTGGGAGTTTAGCGCAGAAGAGCCCGGAAAAACCTCCTCCACCTGCGTTCAGTGGGGGCAGCTCTTTCTCCAGTTGGCGATGATTGAGTTCTCAAATTATTTACATTTTTATTTTATAGTTCAGACGATCTTCATTGAATTACACGATCATGCTCATTTCTTATTAAACGAAAATAAATGGAAAATTGTGAAGGATTATTGGTGAATAAAAAATATTTTTAGAATGTATGAATTATTTTTACTATTTCCTCCTTTTTCCATTCAATTCTTTTAAATTCATTAAATTTATTACTAAATTAGGCTGAATTTTGCCTCCACCACGACAACAGCTTCAGGTGGAATTTTCGGGGCTCAAGGAGGGGGTAATTCTATATTCGGGGGATCCCCAGGGCCATCAGCAGTTAGTTCAGACGATCTTCATTGAATTAAACGAATAATAGGAAAATTGTGAAGGATTATTGGTGAATAAAAAATATTTTTAGAATGTATGAATTATTTTTACTATTTCCTCCTTTTTCCATTCAATTCTTTTAAATTCATTAAATTTATTACTAAATTAGGCCGAATTTGGCCTCCACCACGACAACAGCTTCAGGTGGAATTTTCAGGGCTCAAGGAGGGGGTAATTCTATATTCGGGGGATCCCCAGGGCCATCAGCAGTTAGTTCAGACGATCTTCATTGAATTAAACGAATAATAGGAAAATTGTGAAGGATTATTGGTGAATAAAAAATATTTTTACAATGTATAAATTATTTTTATTACTCCCTTCTTGTTCCACTCAATTCATTCGAATTTATTCAATTCATTGCTAAATTGAAGAGCATATACATCGTTATTCTGATAAACTATGCCTTTGGGGGACAGAAAACTGTCGGAAAGTCCAGAGGAAATTATTTCTCATTATTTCATCGACCTTATTCTTCAAAGAGAATTAGAATTCAATTAATTTGACTTCCCCCCGCCCCTCCCCACTCAATTTCCCTCAATTCTCTCGACTTAATTACCCATAACTATCAATATTACTTTAACAACAAAAAAAAATTAAATCTTACCAAATACCCCTGAACTTCTCGAAGATCCGCTGTCGCACTCCAATGTAAACAATAAATTCCCCTCCTGTCCTCCCTCAAATCGCCCTTTTAACAGGTTTAGGTGCGATGGACACCTTAGTCGGTTTACAGAGCTCCAGAACACAGGGATCATCATTACTAGGATGAGTGCAGGCGAACGTAGAGGGTGCAGCAAGTGCAATCGAGATCTCCACATTGCAGGACTCCATCCACACCTGATGTGACAGCAAGACCGTAGTTCTCAGCCTGTAGTCACTCCCCTCAGTATTCTGCGGCCTGAGATCAGCCTTCCCAGGCAGCAGCAGTTGCACCTGCTGATCAGGATGCCTCAGTTTAATCCTGACAGCGCTGGGATCCCTCAAATTGAGGATCTTGGCAGTCAACGGAATTCCCAGGAGCAATCCCCCAGTGAACTTGAGAGCAGCATCAGCATCCCCCCTGGGCTCCTCAATGACAGCTCGACACATTCTGGTCCTGGCGGAGGGCCTGGGGAGTCTCTCGTTGCCCCTGAGAGGAGTCGTCGTCAGCAGAGGGAGAAGAAGCCTGGAGAGACTCCCAGGTTTGGCCTCCCCCAGCGAGGGAATTTCCATGACCAATTGCCTGGAGAACGGCGGCAGCCTCGACGTGTCCTGAGGGAGGCCATCGGCCTCGGAGAGAAAATGCTTGGCAAGAGGCAGAGCACTCCCTGTCGCCCTCTTCGTCACCCTGATGAGCTCAACAGCGAGGGCTTTCAGCCAGACGTCAGTCGCCAACGTCACGTCCGCCTCGTCGAGACCAGTGAAGAGCCTCTGCAACTGCTGTGTGTACTTCAGCAGAGTTGCGATATTACTGTTCGACGAGGAATTTGCTGAATTCATGTCCACTGGTGCCTCCGTCTCCTTGATGACAGCCCTGAGCAGCAGGAGAGAGCGAACGTACAGCGATGTGAAGTGCGCAGCCCCCTCCATCCTGCTGTCCATTTCGGCGACTCTGTCGAGATCGACAGCAGCAGCCTCCAGGAGTTGAATGTAGACCTTCCCCCCGGGTCTGGCATTCTCGACACCAGCGGCCATTCTCTCGAAGAACTCTCGTCCCCTTTTGTCCCTGAGGTCCTCGTCCACCGGCTCTTGATCGTCCCCAGGGGTGCCTGGGGCCCTCGCCAGGGCGGGCCTCAACCTGGGGACCAGGTGGGGCATTGTGTCCCTCAGGTAGTGGTAGTGCTTGGCTGCGTGCTCGGAGAAGAGGGCGTGCATGCTGGGGCAGTGCAGGGCTGCGTTGAATATCAGGACTAAGAGGCTGGCGTACGACGGCTCGTCGACGTCCGGCTCTGGGGTGTCGAAGAAGGGGTGTCGCCCCAGGAGTTGGGGCACCAGGGGAAGCGTCAGGTAAGGGTGGGACGCCCCCAGGGCTGCCAGGCAGCTTCTGATGCTGTCCTTGTCCTGGGGGTAACGTGTCAGGTTGTCCACCAGTCGGTTCACACACATGTGGAGGCAATTCCTCGTCGCCAATCGGCTCGCTGCCAGGGTCGCGTGCAGACCCTCTCGCACTTCGTCGGAGAAGTCCTCCAGGGCGCAGAGAATCGTCTCCAGCTGGTCCTCCTGGAGGGTCACGTTCGCTGACATCTTTCGCAGGGACTCGATCGCCCGGATCCTCACGTCCTGAATCTCGTCGTTGAACATGTCCACCATGAAGTCCAGGGTTATCCGGGAGATTCCTGGCTGCTCCAGGGAGAGGGTGCACAGGGCCTCCACTGCTGCTGTACGCACCTCGAGGAATTCGTCCTCAAGGCCGTGGATGAACGCTCCGCAGGCTGCACTTCGCTCCTCGATCTCGGAGCCCTCGTCTTCCACGCGCTTCTGCTTTTTNTTATTTATTTTATTTATTTTATTTATTTTATTTATTTTATTTATTTTATTTATTTTATTTATTTTATTTATTTTATTTATTTTATTTATTTTATTTATTTTATTTATTTTATTTATTTTATTTATTTTATTTATTTTATTTATTTTATTTATTTTATTTATTTTATTTATTTTATTTATTTTATTTATTTTATTTATTTTATTTATTTTATTTATTTTATTTATTTTATTTATTTTATTTATTTTATTTATTTTATTTATTTTATTTATTTTATTTATTTTATTTATTTTATTTATTTTATTTATTTTATTTATTTTATTTATTTTATTTATTTTATTTATTTTATTTATTTTATTTATTTTATTTATTTTATTTATTTTATTTATTTTATTTATTTTATTTATTTTATTTATTTTATTTATTTTATTTATTTTATTTATTTTATTTATTTTATTTATTTTATTTATTTTATTTATTTTATTTATTTTATTTATTTTATTTATTTTATTTATTTTATTTATTTTATTTATTTTATTTATTTTATTTATTTTATTTATTTTATTTATTTTATTTATTTTATTTATTTTATTTATTTTATTTATTTTATTTATTTTATTTATTTTATTTATTTTATTTATTTTATTTATTTTATTTATTTTATTTATTTTATTTATTTTATTTATTTTATTTATTTTCCATTTCCAGAAATTTCCATTGAAAATATTAAATCAGAGACAAATTGAAAACAGCATTAATTAATTTTTCTTCAATGTAACATGCATTATTTTACGAGCATTATGAATAATTAACAAGCGTCATTTCGTCAAAATATAATTCAAGTGAAACATCACATTCTTCTAAAAATTATCAATTTCAACAACTTTAAAACTACTGACAATTTTTCTCAGTCTTCCATCGTAATCACGATTTTTTTTAATTTCACAATGGTAAATAAAAAAACAGACAATTGTTGTCCTCAACTTGTTAATTCTTTTCCTTCTAAGAGAAAAAAAATTCAATTACCATTTTTTGAGAGGGAAATCTCAAATGGAAAAAATTAGTACTTGAGAGAAATGAATTTCAAAGGGAATAATTACCGAGGAAAAATCGTCAGGCAAAAAATCTCCTGAACTTGTCACAGTGGAAAAAACTCTGGGAAAAATATTCCGACTTACCCATGAGCGCCATAGCCGACGCCCTGACCCTGGGGGAGAGATCCCCCATGAGTTCGCAGATCTTGGAGAAGGCGCAGTCAATCATCCTGACGTCCTCGCCGTCCTGTCCCACAATGACCTGATCAGGATACTCATTCCCGAGTATCCAAATGAGCTTGAGCACAGCCCGCCTGACGATTTCATAGTCGTCCCGCAGTGCACTGCAGACTTCAGTGAAGAAATTGGGAGGAAGTTTGCAGTTGCGTTGCGTGTGTAGTTCAGCCATGGTCTCAAAGGCAGTAGCTCGCACCCTGGGATCCTGAGACCTCGCGTAGTTCCCGACGAGTGTCAGAGTGTCATCGGACGTCGTCGGATGCAAAAACCGTCCGATGATGGTGAGACAGCGGGTCTGGACGCCGTGCCAGGTGTCCTGCAGGTGTTCCCTGGCGATTTTGAGAACTCCACTTCTGTTGAACTCCCCCAGCTTGAGGAGGGTCGAGAGCCCCTGGCTCTTGACCCTGTGAGACTCCTCCGACCTCAGCAGGCGCGCAGTCTCGTCGATTATGGTGTTCTTCTCGGAGGGATCTGTCGTCACTTGGCCCAACTCAGACAGGACCCACAGGATTTTCGCCCGCACTGGGGCCTCCGACTCCAGGTGAAACCTCTCCACGAGTTTCGTCACAGTCACGGGCACGTCGTCCGAGGACATCCCCGAGAGTGTGTCCGAGAGACGAACGAGAAGCTGGAGAGCGTCATTTCCACCCTTGCACTTCTCCAGGCACTCGACGTAAGCTAGCGCCGAACTTCCGTCGGCTGTTGACGTCGAGGGCTTCCCCGGGGTGAGCCGGAGCGTTCGGAGACGCTTCAAGGGGGGGTCTAGGGTTGTCGTCTGGAAGTAGTTGAGGGGAAAAGTCTATTCAGTGGCGAAATGGGGAAACAGTACAACTCGGAACAGTGTATCTCGGAATCTAAGGGAGATGGCGAAATTTTTGTCATGACCTTTTTTGTAGAGCCGATTGAGAGCTACAATAAAGGTACTTACTAAAATTTCGCTATCTCCATTAGGTTCCGAGATATTGACTGATAACTGGTCAATTGTCAAAATTGACTCATCTCCTTTTACCACTTCGCTAATGAATTGGTTCCTTACGGTTTTTATTTTTCATAAGTTCGTTTCAAATGATGAGAAGTTGAGGAAGTTGAGAAGTTGAGGAGCAAGAAAGAATTTAATGTCGTTGAATTGTTATTGAGAAGTTTTATAGTTGCTCTTCAAGATTAGCGTTCTATCTATTATTTCTGACTAGTCTTTCAGTTTCTGGTATTTCCCTGAGCTAATACTGCCTCGCAGTAGTTTTTCGATATTATGTAAATTAGTGCACAGCCTCGCATGTACCTCTTCTCCCCTCAGAAGGAAAATTCATTCTTCGGGAATTGAATGAAGTTGAAATTAGAATTTTTTTTATTTTGAAGAAAAAACTTCAGAGCAATTGGAAATTTTATCCATTTCCAGGTCTCAAATTCAGGGCTTTTTACTGGGAACTAGAACAGTTTCCTCTTCCCATTATTTATTTATTTATTTATTATTTACAGACCCAACAGTCCAATAAAATACGTTGATTCATGTTAAATTAAAATGTTTGACTATTGATCAGTCTTCAGGGAATATCTCCGGATCTAAGGCAGATACCGAAATTATCGTCATGACCTTTTTTATAGAGCAGTTTAAGACCTACAAAAAAGGTATCTACAAAAATTTCTCTATCCCCCTTAGATTCCGAGATATTCTTGAAAAACTCAGCTCAGAGAAAATCTTAAAAAAGAGCCAAGTTACAAACGTGAAGATTAAAAAACGTTAATTTATTTTAAAAAAAGCACAGGTGCAAGAGGAAAATAATTATCTTAAATACCTGGTTTTGCGTGAATTCCGCCAGCACCCTCTTCTTCATCAATGCTGCCATTATTCTGGATTAAACCCAACTTTGTTTATTCTTCATCCCCTGGGGGACCACTTTGAGGTTAGAGAGCACTTCCACACGCACTTTTCTCGAATCCCAGCTGCTCCACGAAATTATCCTGACGAAAAACAACTTTCTGCCTCAATTTTTCAAACGAGAAGAATCGAGAAATTTTTAATGTCCAAATGCAGTGGAATTTTCTCTTTTTTTTCTCTCAGGAACATGACATTTACGTGTTGGCACCTCTGTGTCGGAGTCACCGGTCAAACTTCTACTTTTGCCCAGTCGATGGAGCTTCCTTCGTCCGAGAACAACCGGAACAACGTCGTGTCCCGTCTAGTCGACAATTCAGTGCCTCTCGTTCTCAACTTCCCCCCTTTTCCGCCCCAAGTAGACGTGAGAGGTTGCACCGTCTCCCAATTTTTATTTATTGAAGGATAAAATCATATTGCAATGGCCATCGGCGATTTGAAAACCCCCAAAGGCCTCAAGGACCTCGACACTTACCTCGCCGATCGCAGCTACATCGAGGGGTAAGTCATTAATTCACGGTTTCGCAGTTATTCTCGATCTACACGTGCTCAGTCTGTCGGCATCTTGAGGGCTATTTTAGCACGATGATTTTTGGGCACGAGTCCTGCTGTTCCGCGCTCTGGCCCCCGAAAGTATTGATGGGAATCCGTCAGGCGAGTCGCGAACGATTATTGTATTTGCACCTGAGAATTTTGACAGATACCAACATGCGGTGGGGTATAACAAACCCTTTTGGTCGACGATATCCCCGGAATGGGCGATGTGATTTGAATTAGTCAGGGCTCATTTTGAAGGCTGAAAAATTACCTTGAAAGTGAAAAAGAAATCGGGAAATTTCACTCTGCGGTTGACGAGTTATTCACGATCAAAGATTCAGTCGTTTTTCAATTTTTTTGCAGTTGAACATCAAGTTTCGTTGCAACTGTCTTTTGTTGCTAAATTTAGACGTTTTTAATGAAACTCTCTTCTTTATAAGAATCATAAATTATTGATAAAGAAGAAAATTAACAAAAGCTTCAATAATTCCAATTATTCACGATCAAAGATTCAGTCGTTTTTCAATTTTTTTGCAGTTGAACATCAAGTTTCGTTGCAACTGTCTTTTGTTGCTAAATTTAGACGTTTTTAATGAAACTCTCTTCTTTATAAGAATCATAAATTATTGATAAAGAAGAAAATTCACAAAAGCTTCAATAATTCCCATTATTCTTCATTCGAAGAGAAAGATTCCAAAATAATTCTTCGCGAATTTTAATTACGAACCCTCCTTGGTCGTCAATATCTCCGGACTGGACGATGCGATTTGGATCAGTCAGGGCTCATTTTGAAGGCTGAAAAATGATCTTGAAAATGAAACAAAAATCGGGAAATTTCACTCTGCCGTTGTCGAGTTATGATCACAAAATGATTGTCTGCAAGCTGTAATTTCAATTTCTCAAATTCATTTAAAAAAACTTCCAAATATCAGATATCAAGCATCCCAGGCTGACGTAGCGGTGTACGAGGCCCTGGACAAGGCCCCGACATCGGCGAACCCCCACGTTCTGAGGTGGTACACCCACATCAAGTCTCAGGATCTGAAGAAGCTCCCAGGAGAGAAGAAGGCCCCCTCAGTTCTGGGTGGTGAGGCTGCCAAACCAGCTGACGACGACGATGACGTAGACCTCTTCGGCTCTGACGAGGAGGAGGACGCAGAGGCTGCGAGGATCAGGGAGGAGAGAGTGAAGGCATACGCCGAGAAGAAGTCCAAGAAACCCGCCCTCATCGCCAAGTCGAGCATCCTCATTGACGTTAAACCTTGGGGGGATGAGACTGATCTCAAGGAAATGGAGAACTGCGTCAGGAAAATTGAGATGGACGGTCTCGTTTGGGGAAGTTGTAAGTCATTTGGAATAGAGGAATGCTTGAAATTCAGCGGCGAAGTGGTAAAACGGTTCAAGTCGATTTTGACTATTTCCCAGTTTTCAACGAATATTTTTTTTTTTCCAATGAATATCTCAATGAAAATATGTTGACCTTCATGTTCGATGATTTTCAGGGTGGTCGTGGAGGAGATTAATGCCAGGTTGTGAGAGCTTGTCTGAACAATCAAGAAACCGATAATTAGACCTGAGCCAAGTCAAGTTATTCACAAACAAAATTATGTGCACTTCGCATATCACAGTAACTCACGGTGATTGCCTAACTGTCGCCAGATATTTTGGCGACAAGTCGCCGAATCTGGCAACTATGATATTTGTGAATCAATTTCGGAAAAAAATGAGAAATACCCGAGCGAGGGTTGAACTCGCGACCTTCAGCTTGCCGTTTTTATTCAGATAACAAAATTTATTTACAATATTGACATATGCAAAACTAGTTTAAAAAAATTAATATACAGTATTTAGATTGAATTTATAAACTCATGGCTGATTGGCAGCTCTCGAGTTTAGACTTTATCAAGAGGATTTTAATTCTCTATTTTAGCTATTAGTAAAGTATCTATTAAAGAAAATATTTTTCTTTAATTATGCGCATTGTCACGTGCGAATGCTAATTGATATGGATTTATTTCAATATTTTTCAATTGAACTGTGAGGCCAGATATTTTGGCGACAAGTCGCCGAATCTGGCAACTATGATATTTGTGAATCAATTTCGGAAAAAAATGAGAAATACCCGAGCGAGGGTTGAACTCGCGACCTTCAGCTTGCCGTTTTTATTCAGATAACAAAATTTATTTACAATATTGACATATGCAAAACTAGTTTAAAAAAATTAATATACAGTATTTAGATTGAATTTATAAACTTATGGCTGATTGGCAGCTCTCGAGTTTAGACTTTATCAAGAGGATTTTAATTCTCTATTTTAGCTATTAGTAAAGTATCTATTAAAGAAAACATTTTTCTTTAATTATGCGCATTGTCACGTGCGAATGCTAATTGATATGGATTTATTTCAATATTTTTCAATTGAACTGTGAGGCCAGATATTTTGGCGACAAGTCGCCGAATCTGGCAACTATGATATTTGTGAATCAATTTCGGAAAAAAATGAGAAATACCCGAGCGAGGGTTGAACTCGCGACCTTCAGCTTGCCGTTTTTATTCAGATAACAAAATTTATTTACAATATTGACATATGCAAAACTAGTTTAAAAAAATTAATATACAGTATTTAGATTGAATTTATAAACTTATGGCTGATTGGCAGCTCTCGAGTTTAGACTTTATCAAGAGGATTTTAATTCTCTATTTTAGCTATTAGTAAAGTATCTATTAAAGAAAACATTTTTCTTTAATTATGCGCATTGTCACGTGCGAATGCTAATTGATATGGATTTATTTCAATATTTTTCAATTGAACTGTGAGGCCAGATATTTTGGCGACAAGTCGCCGAATCTGGCAACTGGTTTAACAAAACAGCAAGTGTGGACTTGCTGTCGAATTTCCAGTGATAAAAACTCAATAAAGAAAAGAAGAATGCGGATTTTCGGCAACTCGATTAATTGATTAATTAGAGTTGAATTCACCACAAGTTGATTTACAAGATAATTTGCTAGATAATTATTCACGATGAAATGCGGGGGGTGGATTGACCCCTCTCGGGTGGAATCGGTACTCAGCGAGAGTTTACCGAATACCACAGGCAACAAGTCGAAAAAGTCCGGAATTCCTCCCGAAATCGAACAGCATTTTTTTCGCAAACAAAGCGCGATAGCAAAATTTTTGACAAGACCTTTTCTGTAGAACTCAATTCGCTCTACAAAAAAGGTCATTACAACAATTCCATTATCTCCCTTACGTTCGGAGATATCCCTCGAAAACTCCACTCACCACTTCGCTACTGAATTAAATTCCTAAAATAATGATGATGATTTGATTGATTTGATTGATCATTTTTGATTTTTCTTCAACAGCAAAATTAGCAGAAATTGGCTATGGAATCAAGAAACTCCAAATCCTCTGTGTTGTCGAGGACGATAAAGTATCTGTCGACGAGCTTATGGAGAAGATCCAAGAACATGAAAATTACGTGCAGTCCGCGGACATTGCTGCATTCAATAAAATCTAAATGAACTGCTTTGTCTTTTACCCTCGAATAAATGCGTATTAATTGTTTCTAATTTTTGTATCAATCATTCCAATTAATCCTGAGTTTCTGCGTCGCACGAGAGAAAATGAGGAAAAATTATCTAGCTCGTGGGAGTTGATGAGTAGATTGACCTCTGTGGTCTCCAGAAATTATTGAAGCCTTCGTCGGGGGTTTTTTATTCCAGGGATGGCCATCAATATTAAACTCTATTAATGTTGGAGGCATTTGTGACTTGTGTTGATAAAAGTTTAAATATTCTTATCGAAATATAGAAATAGTATGCGATTTATGATGAATTAAATATTTAATAATATGGGACTGTGAATTTTCCGATAAATAAATAATTCTAATTTCTTAAAAGGGGTTATCAATTGAGAAATCATTGGCAATTTGAATATTTAAATTGATAATTATTAAAATAGTTGAAAATTTAAGTGATGTTAACTAAATGACAGCTTCGAAATTTAACGGTAATTATGATTTATGAATATGGTTATCGTTTATTCTTTTAAAATGATAAAAAATAATGCAAAAGCTAAACCTGAGGAACATTTTTCCCCAAATCTTTTTCTTTTTTTTGTTTATAGCATTCAAACTATTCGCTTCATTCTGCAAAAAATATATAATATATAAATTACATAAATTATATATTTAATCCAGAGGATAAGAAAATGTTAAGAGAAAAGTTTTTCATTTTTACTGAATTTTCGGGGATATAAGCGCGAGAATAAAAATGAATCACAATTTTAGCAAAAACTTGTGTTATTTAAATCAAAAAATGATGATTCCCTTGGGGCGCTTTAAAATTGAGCTAGACAGCAGGGTATTCGCAAAACAAATTAGTGTAATCTTCACAAATGAAAATTTTACTTTCTGATCGGGAAAAATTCCGATGAAATCATTTTACAGGTAATTTTTTTTCATTCGCTTTTCAATAATTTTCATCTTCCTGAGTATTTAAAAGTGGCCTCGGGCCAAATTCGCGATATAAATAATTGACAATCATCAGATTCATTTAATTATGAAACACTAAAAAAGGCAAGTGTTGTTTCACGTGTGCCAGCGAAAATTACGACTTTTTAACGACCATTACTTATATAATCCCGGGTTTTTACAGATATTAATCTCCGATTTATCGAGAACAATTACACATCACCTCAGAAATATTTATAATGGCAGAATATATCCTGTTCCCACAAAAATCATTGGTTCATCGAAAAGGGAAGAGCAGTGTGTCAGCGACGAATTTACCCGTTTCATACGAAATTTCCTTAGACCGGAGACAAAGTAAGTTTTTTTTGTATTTATGTCCACTTGTTTCTCCTACCCAAATCCCAAATGTGTGTGCGCTTCTCCCACCTGGGACTGACATTGAGGGACACCGGTATATAAGGCCGATGTCCATTGCGATCCTGTGAACAGTTATAAGACTCGACTCCAGTTCGACGGAGCTCACTACAATTTTTTCCCCTTTTTTCAGTTAAATAATAAAATTACGAGGCAATTTGTCGTTAAAATGACGCCGAGAATAGCTGTTTTCGCTATTCTATTAGTCTCGTGTGCTCTAGGTAAGTTTTGGAATTCAGAAAGCTTTTTTCAAGTGCAGATCAATGAACTTGGGTTGTGCTGATCTTCTGAGATTCAAGGCCTGCGGGGATGATGGATTTTATTTGTTTATTTAGAACACTAAAATCCTTCCGCTTTGAAATTTCGAACTTAATTTTTTTGCAATTTTTTTTTCCATTCAAGTGACAACATCTCGTGTATTTAATTTATAATTTTAATGGAATCGTTTCAAGGCCTGAGAGGATAACAGCAACGTAATAATTATGTGATTTTTATTTATTTATTTAGAACGTTAAAACCTTTTGGCTTTGAATTAAATTTCAAACTTGAATATTTTACTGGGATTTTTTTTCTATTCTAGTGACATCTCGCGTAATAAATTTATAATTCTAATGTGATCTTCCAACGTTTCAAGGCCTGAGGGGATAATAGAAACATAATTATGTAGTATAATAATTATATGGATTTTATTTATTTATTTAGAACACTGAAACCGTTTGGCTTTGAATTAAATTTCGAACTTGAATATTTTACTGGGATTTTTTTTCTATTCTAGTGACAACATCTCGCGTAATAAATTTATAATTCTAATGTGATCTTCCAACGTTTCAAGGCCTGAGAGAATAATAGCAACATAATAATTATGTGGATTTTATTTATTTATTTAGAACATTGAAACCTCTTGGCTTTTAACTAAATTTCAAACTTGAATTTTTTTCTGGGATTTTTGTTTTAATTCCAGTGACAACATCTCGTGTACTTAATTAATAATTTTAATGTGATCGTTTCAAGGCCTGAGAGGATAATAAAAATCCATAATTGCGCATTTATTGAGAGCATTCAAACCCGTTGGCTTTGAATTAAATTTCAAAGCCCATTTTTTGCCTTTTTCTGTCAATTCAAGTGACAACATCTCGCGTAATAAATTTGTAACTTTAACGTGATGGTTTCAAGGCCCGAGAGAATAATAAAAATGTGTGATTATGAGGATTATTTTGTTCAGAGCATTTAAACCTTCTCGTTTTCAATTAAATTCCGAAAAACAAAATTTAAACATTTTTCCCTGGGAGTTTTTCATCGATTCATCTCGCGTAATAAATTTAACCACTTTAATTCAACATTCCGGAATGTTGGTGGGCGTAAAACTGCGTCATCTCGCGAGAACACCTTGACCCTGTCATCCATAAATGTTCTTGAACAAAGGACACTCAGGATCGCGATTGGGACCGACGGAGGGATCCGGTTCCGTCTATTACTATTCCAAATTCCCGCCGGAGGCGGTCTACAAGTTCAAGAGTATCTTGTTCCGCGGGGTGATGCCGATCCGCGAATGCGACTTTTGTTCCTCTCGTCTAACGAAAAAAAAATTTTCTTCTATCCCGAGGGGAAATTATTATTCAAGAGTTTATAAAAAAATTTTTTCCCGAAAAAAATTGTCTGTAAAATACTTTTTTATCCGTAAAAATTAAAAAATCTCCAGTCGTATTGGCAAATTCACCAGAATGACGAAAAATTAAATGCGTAGAGATTACAATCGATCGGAGTGTCAGGCGATTTAGAATCCAATCACGTCTGAATTTTTTCCTTTTCTAGAGATCAATGGGCTGTGATAAAAGAATTTTAAAAAGGAGGAAAAAAATTCTGAGAATAGTTTTATTGTCCTTTTGCCGTCTTTGTGTCGCGCGGAATACATTTGAATTCCGTTCCCCTCTTTTATTCAACTTCTAATACACAGGAATATTTTTTTATCAGAAGTTTCGAATTTTTTTTTCGTAACGACATTTCAAAAAAATTGAAAATTCGTTGTTTAAATTTTAAATTTAGTGAAAATTCTGAAGACCGGGAGAATAAACGTTTGATGTGGCATTTGAAATCTCTGTGTAGCGCAAGACGCCCCGAAATCAGGCTCAGTGACGAGTCAGAAAATAAGTCAAACGTGTTTCGGCTGCATGTGCGAGGCAGCCTCGGGTTGTGACACAACCTCGGGGTGCACGGGCGACGTCTGCGGACCCTTCCGCATCACGTGGGCATACTGGGCCGACTCCGGCAAACCCACCCTCAACGGCGAGGCCGCCACTGCCCCCGGAGGTGCGTAATTAACGAAATTAAAACAAGTCGACTTAGCTCTTGCCCGAGTTCTCGAGGAATATCTCCGAACCCGAGGGAGATAGCGGAATTTTCGTAAAGACCTTTTTTGTAAAGCAGGTCGAGAGCTAGAAAAAAGGTCCTCACAAAAATTTTGGTATCTGCCTTGGATTTAGAGATATTCAATGAAAACTGGTCAGTAGTTGAAATCGACTTAAAGTAATGGAGAATAATTCATTTCTCTTTGTTATTTAGCTTGGACTCGATGTGTCAACGATCCATTCTGCGCCTCTAAGGCCGTTCAAGGGTACATGGACCAATATGCGCAGGTGAGATTTTTTTTATGATTTTAGTGGGTAATATGTGCGGAAATCATTACGTTTTGTTCACTAATTTTATAAAATTGTTGGATTTTTTTAGGAATTCAAGGGATAGAATGTTCAATGCATTCAATATTGAGCAGTTCTCCGCATTTGAATGTTTAATGTTGAATTTGAATTGAATTTAGTAGCGAGGTGGTCAAACGGTTTAAGTCAATTTAGTCTTTAGTTGAGTTTTCCAGAAATATTTCCGAATTCAAGGGAGATAGCGAAATTTTCATAATGACCTTTTTTGTAGGGCGAATTGAGTGCTACTAAAAAGGTTATACGAAAAATTTTGCTATGTCGCTTAGATTTCGAGATATTCATTGAAAACTGACAATAGCCAAGATCAAATCGTTCATGCAATCTCTAACTCGTCGCAAAAATTGAAGATTACATTCGATGAATTTTTTAATAGATTAAAAATGCAGAATAAGTTGCCTGTATTTTCCCAAATTTTGATTTATAATTTCATTAAACGTTTCAAAACTAAACGAATGGAGATTTCATCTGGATTAATCTTTAAAAAATCTCAAGAATTTTTACTAGAAATCTCAGGATTAATTTTTCAAGAGTATAAAGAAATTAGTAAAGATAATGTTTAAATTCCATTTTTTTTTCTAGGATTGCAACGGCGATGGGGTGATAAATTGCGACGATTACGTCCGAATTCACCGCTTCGGGGGTTACGGGTGCTCCGGGCAACTCGACGCCAAGTACGAGAACACGTACAAGAATTGTGGCAAAAAATTCGGACTTTAAAGTCCTGCATTTCACGAAAATTATGTGAATTAAACTCGAGATGTAACCGACAATATTCTCAATCATAAATACTCGTAGTTAAGTGATCAATTATTCATCAGGCATAAATAAACAGAATCGTTTTTTATAAAGTAAGAAATTAGTCTCGAATTTCAGTGAAATTGTGGCACACGTGGGCGTCAGTGGAATGCCTTCTACAGCTCGATTTATTCTGCGAAATTTAGGGTGCTGCAAGGATCCGGTTTGGATGGACTGTGTAGGTGTCTATTGTTATTTCTGCGTTTCAGAATGAGACACAAATTCAAGAGAATTCTGCTCTCTGCAAAGCCTCTAATCTAGTTCTCTAAGAATTCTACTTTTTTTCGTTAATTCTATCGAAAATTATGCAAATGTGCATCTTTAAATAAATATTTTTCTAGGGAAAAATTCTGTAGATTTTGATTTTTCTGTACAATTTATTCTGCTGGGATTTTCTATGTAAAATTCGTGGACAATGAATTTTCCACGTATTTTCCTTGAATTATATTGCGAGAAATTCAATTAAAAAATCGCGCCTAAAAAATCTAATAGAATTCTTATGGAATTTAAATAGAGATTAAATAGAATTTGTAAAAAAGACGTTTTTCTATGAAATTTTTCAGTACTTCTGAATAAAATAAAAATTTTCCTTTCTTGGACACGAATTCTTAATTTTTTTCTTGAATTGTATTACGAGAAATTAAATTTAAAAAATGTGCCTGAAAACTCCAATAGAATTCTTACGGAATTTAAATAGAAATTAAATAAAATTTCTTGGAAAAGACGTTTTTTGTGATTTTTTTATACTTCTAATGAATAAAAATAAAAATTGTCCGTTCTCCAATATAATGACACTTATCACTGAATTAATTCTCGTAAACATGATCTCCCATCAACGCATCCTATTCGACCAATACCCTCCCCTCTGAATTAATTCAGAGAGTTGTTCTCATGCCACGAGATAAAAGAATTTTATCCACTAACCCAGCACGACTGGTCAACCTCTGCAGTTGCTCCCCCGAAAGTGGTTTCTCACTGGCATTTTTGAGCATAAAATGACTGATGAAGAGCCTCAGTCCTTCCCTGAAGGTCTGCAGCTGAGGGGAGACTGAAATCCGCTGGAAAACCTGGAGGCACTCCTCGTCATTATCATGGAGAAGTAAACAGAGCATTATTTGCCTTATGAATCTCATCGTCGGCTTGTCGAGCTCCCCAAACTCCACGACTTTGAGGACAGACAGTGGCAGGCCTTTTTCGAGGAACAAGTGGCTCAGAAATTTCGCTAGATTCCTCAATTGAATGTTGGAATAGTCACCCAAGACCTTTAATTTATCCCAGAGGGAATATTGTAGCGTCATCTGCAGAAAGAAAATTATAATTTTATCAATTTCATTTTCTTTTGATTTAATTAATTCAATCAAGTCAATTAAACAATTCAATTAATAACTCAATTAATTCAATTAAACAAAAATTAACTCTTGAATTAAATTCAATTCATTCAATAATTTCTTCTTCATTTAGTAAAATTGATTAATTTGAGTGAAAACACTTTTGATTTAATTAATTAATTAATTCTCATTTTTAATGATTCAATTAATTCAATTAAACAAAGATTAACTCTTGAATTAAATTAAATTCCCTCACTACTGTCTTCTTCCTTCAATCAAATTAATTAATGTGAGTCAAATAAAAATAAAAATAGAATAAAACGCCTAAAAAATGATAAATCACGACTCACCTGATTTTTCCTATCGAAATCGCAAAACTTCTGCGCTAACACCGCATAATAAGGATTGAACGCCTTCTCCTGCAGGCAGCAGTCCACGAGAACGTGAATAATCTCCCTGGCCTGTTGATCCCTGAGCCCCAAGTGATGTATCTTCTCGAAGGCGTCCATAAAGTCCTCAGCAGTCATCAAAATACAGAAGATGTTCCTCCTGACGTCAGTGTTCATCCTCTGCTTCCTGGCGAGCTCCAGGATTTTCTGGCTGTACATCGTCTCCCCAGGACTCGTCTTAAGCCTCGACCCCGACTCGACCTTCCCCGTCCAGGCAGAGCCCACAATCCACCACTTGCCCCTCTCGTCCACCTTCAGAAGATCGTCGAGGGATATATTGAACTGAGTCACGACGTTTCCCTTCCTCAGAAAGGTCTTGAGGAGCTTCTTGAGGTGCTCCACGTGCGAGGGGTCGTACTGGGGGATTTTGCTCATATTATTATTTTTAATGGCCAAGAGAACGTCCAGCATGAACTGAATCCTGGAGCTGGAGGACTTGGCAGCCGCCGCCTTCTGCTGGAGCTTCAGGATGAGCTCCTTGAGGGCCAGAGGGTCGTCCCTCCTCAGCAAGAACCCCACCGTCTTCAGGGCAATCAGAATGAGCTCGATCTCCTTCTCCCCGAACTTCTCAGCCAGTTTCTCCAGGATTTCGTACAACAGTCTGCACCCAAAGACCTTGAAATTGTAGAGGTGGGAGATCATCAGGACGACGTTGTCCAGCTGTTTGTCCTCCACCTGCTGAAGACTCCCCATCATCTCCTCGAACTTTCTGATCAACGACAGCAGAAAGTGGGCCCCAACCTCGGTCCCCACGTTCGCGTGGAGGATTGCTATCAGCATCATGTGCTCGGAGATCAGGCGGTCTGGGGTCAACACTGGGGAGACGATTGACTCTGTCATCAGCTTGAAGAGGACCTCGTTCATGTTGTTTCTGCTGTTCGACATGTAGAGCTCGTCGATCTCACTGGAGATCGTGTGCATGTTGTGCTCGGCCAGACGGTTTATCAGACCCTTCAGCTGCTTGTGCAGTCGCTGGATCTTCTCTTTCTCCTCCAGGGACTGCTCCAGGTGCTTCAGACGAGCTGCTGGGGGAATGTACTTCTCAGTTGTGGGGAGAATATTCCCAGATTTGTCGCGCTTTCTACCGTAAATGTCCTCCCACTCGTGGGGTTTCGACGAGGAATTTTCTTCATCATCAAGACTATCATCATCATCTTCTTCATTTTTTTCTCCGAAAAATTCTTCTGATTTTGCTCCACAATTTTTTTCCTCGTTATCACCATCAGAGGCTGAAGTTTCGTCTCCAAAAACCGCAATTTCCCCATCAGAATCAACAACTTCTTCTTCCATTTCACTCTCTGAACGTGAATCATCACCAGAGAATCCCCCTGAATTTTTTTTTTTATCCTTTCCTGTCACCATGGCCAGATCCTCTTCGAAATCAGAGTCCGCGTCCTCTCCCAGCAGCTGCTTCTCGGTTTCAACAGCCAATTTCCTGTCCTCGTCGTTGCAGAAGTCGAGCAAATAGTCGAGCCCATCGACTGCGAAGGACTTCGGGGTGCTTTTGCTCTTGCGCTTGTTGAGCTTCAGCTTCTTCTCCATCTGGTGGATCACACGGTCCTCCTCCTCGTTGTCTCTCAGCAGCTGATTTTTCCGCTTTCTCGCGGCTTCGGAGGCCACTCTCTGTCGCTTTTTCTCCTCGAGTCTCTGTTTGTCGACATTTTTTGCGGTTTTTGGGGCTTTGGAGGCCTCTTCGGGGGCGGATTCAGCGCTCCGGACGAACTGCCCTGGCACTCGCTTCTTCCCTCCGTGATACTGCGCTCGGTGAAGCTTTTTTTCTTTGCGTTTCTCCTTTCGCTTCTCTTTACGAGTTTTCTGGATCGCGGGCTTTTTCGCTTTATTCTGTTTTCGAGACTTCATGATTTATTTGTTTAGTTGTTCACTTATTTACTCATTTTTTGAGGTTATTCAGTTATTTATTTCACAGTTTCTGTGACTTTGAGAGTTCTTGAAATGCTTTAACCTCAAATGTCAACAACACGTGGGACACGTGCGGGGTGAGAGAACTGCGCAGGCGCGTGCGCCGGTTTCATTGTTGCCTTTTACGAAAAACGAAACGAAAGGTCTTTTTTATTTCCTTCTCTTTTGTTTTAGGTCTTGATTATTTGTAACTCATTGTTTAAATTTTCCTCGCGAGAGGAGATGCATTCGGAATTTTACGAAAATTTAAGCCGAAATAAAAAATTGAAGTTTAAAGTCAGGAAAAGTTTAGGTTTAAATGTTCAAGTTTTCAAGTTTGAGTGTAATTTTTATCATATTTAGATTGAAATTTAAGTGTAATGGAAAATTCAAAGGAATGCGCTAGGTTTTTCTGTCAATGAGAAATTTTCTATAGATTTTTTAAAATGGGAGAAAGCAAAGAAATTAGATTTTATAGATTTATAATTTTTTTTGAGAATTTTTCAATTCTTAAATAGAAGAAAACAAAAATCTACATTTTTTAAATTATTTTCTTGTTGAATTTCTTCGACAACTAAAATAAATAAAATTTTCTCACACATGAAGTGTTAAAATGCCTCAGATCGAGATGACTCACCTCAGACTACTCTACATTTACTAAAAACAGTGAGAGAACTACGAAAAACCATGAAAGCCCATTTTCGTAATCAGGAAAATTGTCCGCAAAGGTCGAATCCCCGTTTCGCCTTATAATTGATCACTTCCTCAACAATCACCTAATTAACAGGAATTTTATCTGAGTCGGATCGTTTATTATCCACTTCAACTGCACTTTTCGTCAGACACTAATAGATTTACTCCGACAAACGCCTGAATCATGTGAATCATCGAGAGAAATCATCGCAAAAAATTTAAAATCATCTTCCCAAAAATTTATTAATTCCGTAATTTGTCGTCTTCCGATGAAATTCCTTGTCTCCTGCAGCTTGAATCGAAAATTATCAGCAATTTCTCCGAATGAATGACGCTTATTTATTGTTCTCAGGACACATGAGCGTTTGTTATTATTTTATTGTTCTGCCATTGATTAAATCAACGCAATTTGTCATGGCAATTCATTGCCGTCATTATTCGCTTCATATGGGTGCACCGGATTAAATAAAAACAGACACTTGCGCGGGTTATTTTTTAGTTGCTCTCGAACTATCTAGGAAAATAATGAAGTGCATTTCGAATATCAGTTCTGTTTTTTGCATTTTGGCAGCAGTTTATTTCCAGGCAATCGACGCGGTGAGTAAATTTTTTGAAATTCAATATCAGTTCAAAAATATTAAAAATGAAACGCATTTGGTATTGTGAGTAATTAATTAATGAATTAATTAATTGATTGATTGATTCAATGGATCGATGACTATTAAATTATTTTTTCTATTTATTGTTGTAGTACTATCCAGGATGCATTCACCATTTCAGTGGACTCTTGGAATTTCCGAACGACTGCTCAAAATTTATTCAATGTGATAATGGAAGAACATTCATAATGAATTGCGGCCCAGGAACAGTGTTCAACCCTCACCTGCGAGTCTGCGATTGGCCGTACAATGTTCCTGGTTGCGGTGGTAATTATTTAATGAGGATCTTGTTATTGGATTACGCGATTTTTACTTGATTTCGTTGCTCGCAGGTGTAATGCATCCTGAACCTAAACCTTGGTACGAACACGACGAGTCGTGTCGGCCTGGAAAGGTACCGGAACCGACTGAACCGCCAGAAGAACACAAACCGGAGCATCCTAAATATCCTGACGGGCATGAGCCGGAAAAGCCTGAACATAAACCAGAAAAACCGGAACATAAACCAGAGAAACCTAAACCTAAACCAGAAAAGCCTAAACATAAACCAGAAAAACCTAAACATAAACCAGAGAAACCTAAACATAAACCAGAAAAACCTAAACATAAACCCGAAGAATCTGAACATGAACCTGAGGAACCCGAACACGAACCCGAGGAACCTGAGCATGAACCCGAGGAGCCTGAACATGAACCTGAGGAACCTGAACAGGAGCCGGAGGAATCTGAGGAGCCCGAACATGAACCTGAGGAGCCAGAATATGAGCCTGAGGAACCTGAATACGAGCCGGAGGAATCTGAGGAGCCCGAATATGAACCGGAGGAACCTGAGGAGCCCGAACATGAACCTGAGGAGCCCGAATATGAACCTGAGGAACCTGAATATTCCGACGAAGATGAACACGAGCCTGAGGATCCAGAACATGAGTATGAGGAGCCTGAACACGAACCTGAATATCCCGACGAAGATGAACCTGAACACAAGCCTGAGGAACCTGAGGAGCCAGAATATGAGCCTGAACAACCTGAATATGAACCAGAGGAACCTAAACATAAACCCAAAAAACCTGAGCATAAACCCAAAAAACCTGAGCATAAACCCAAAAAACCTGAACATAAACCCAAAAAACCTGAACATAAGCCCAAAAAACCTGAGCATAAACCAAAAAAACCTGAACATAAACCCAAGAAACCTGAACATAAGCCCAAAAAACCTGAGCATAAACCAAAAAAACCTGAACATAAACCCAAGAAACCTGAACATAAGCCCAAAAAACCTGAGCATAAACCAAAAAAACCTGAACATAAACCCAAGAAACCTGAACATAAGCCCAAAAAACCTGAGCATAAACCAAAAAAACCTGAAAATAAACCCAAAGAACCTGAACATAAACCAGAAAAGCCTGAACATCCGAACAAACAAAAACCAAAAAAACCTGAACATTCAGGGGTGCCTGAAAAACCTGAGCCTCCGGTCAAACATACACCAAAATATCCCAAACATCCACCCGAACATGAACCAGATTATCCCCAAGAACACGAACCAGATTATTCTGAAGAACATGAGCCTGAATATCCTCAGGAACATGAATCGGATTATTCCGAAGAACATGACCCAGAATACAATTAACATCTCGAGTCCGGAGCTAAAGACACTGAACTTGTGCCTGAAAAGCTGACACACACGCGGAGAAAAGGGAAAATCGACTTCGACATCTTCGATTATTAGCTCAAATGAAGTATTACAAATGTAATATAAATTCCCGTGTTCTTTGTTACTTTTATAATGAAAGATTGTGGACGATTGTGCAGCAGAAAATATTACCATAAATGAACATCATTCATTACATTTTCAATGAAAAATAACAACTCCCCTGAAAATGAAAAAAATCTAGTTTCATTTATAATAAAAAATTATTTCACTCCGCAAAAAAATGTCTGAAATTTTTTTTTAAATAAATTTTACTGTGGAAACAATTCTCGAGTCCATTATTTGTACACATTTTTAAAGTAAAATTATTCTTATTATGCACAGAATTCTTAAATTAAAAACCTGATTATGAAGTCCACCTGAGGTCAGCGCAAATGGCCACGTGATCACTAGGAAAAACAACAGATGGAATTGCCCCGTGCAGCGAGAGCTCCTCTTTACTCGGCATTGGAACCACCTGAGTCACTTGAAGCTTATCCGTCTGGTAGAAGATGTAATCCAGGCAATCGGCAAATTCTACTGTGAAGTTTGTGTATTCTGGTGTTCCACAGGCACTTGCAAGTGACATTTCGTGCGAGAGGGACACGTTCTCGATTATTTGTTCAGGATCTGCAACGAATTTTCCATTAGTAAAAAAAATCAAGTGAAAAGGAGAACATTTTGAGAGAAGTAATGAGTAATTATTTATTTATTGAGGGCTTCTCACTTGATTTCCAATTAATGTGGTCCTCAGGAACATATTTTTTCGTCATCAATTCGTAAATCCCATCAGCAGGACTACTATTGAAGTCTCCACTCAGAATGAATGTCACGTTTTTATCTGGATACTAAAATTCAATTAATTAATTGTAATTAATCAGTGATAACTGAATGAAATTGAATAACAAAATTAACAAATTTAATTCGCTTCTGAAGAGAAAAGATTTCTCACCAATTTTTTAGTGAACTCAACGGTATTTTGACACTCAGTCAACGCGAAATATCCCTGCAGCAGTCTTATGTGATCAGCATCAGGGTGAAAATACAAATGTGTGTTTCCTAAGACCAGAATTTCTCCTGGATTATCTCTAGATTGTAAGGTAACGATCAACAATGAAGTGTTTCGCTCCAAAAATCGTTGTCTCGTGCTGTCGTTCTGCACTCGAGCCCAAATCCTCTTGAAGGACTCATTAAATTCGACGTTCTTCCCCATAACTGTGCACTTATTGTCCAGAAGTTGAAAGCGGTTTTGGTCGTAGAACACGGCTAGTCCCTCAACTGTGTCCCCCTTGGTGGCAAATATTCCACTGTAGTTCAGGGAGGACAGAGCTGGGACCAAGTCGTTTTCATAGACCTTTTTGTCGACCTCTTGCAGACAGAGAATGTCTGAATTGTATCCTAAAGGAGCAAAAAGGCATTCGATTTATTAATAACTGTTCTGTTAAATCTTATGTGTCAATATTTTCAGTCGTAGACTTTACGAAGGTTTTGATTCGATCCTGTAATTGGTCTTGTGCTGTCGGGTCTTTATGAAATGAAAATGCAAATGAAAATGAAAACGAAAATTTCTGTTTTAGAAAATAACGATTTTTCTTAAATTTACCTATTAATTCTTTAACTATCAACAACTTTCGATAATCCATTGCTAGGGCATATGGGGGGCAGTACGGAAATAAAACCTCTCGGGAGTAGTCCGAGTCTGCGTAAGTGTCTGCTAAAATATTATACGATGCTATCCTGAAACTGAAGAATAACGAAGGATTCATTTTAATCATTCGTATACACAAAAAAATAGTGAATTTGAATGAAATAAAATTTTCTGTTTGATATTTTTTCATTCATTTTATAGGATATATTTCAATGTTGAAATAATCCCAAATGAAGGATTATTTCATCTTAAAATCATCTTCCTTTTGTTCATCATCTGCAGAATGATTTTATTTCATATTCTTTAAATAAAAAAAAATGCGATTTTAAAAAGTTTCAAATGAACAATCATTTCATTCCTAATTTATTGTTATTATTATTATTATTATTATGGATTATTATTATAAATAATAATAATTAGTAATAATGATAAATAAAGTCGTCGAAATATTTATCCACATTAAAAAATTATTTATTTCATCTGAAGAAAAATGCAAATAATAATAATTAAATAAAAAAAAAAAGTGGAATAAAACTCAGAAAGAAAATGAAGAATAGAAGCAAAAAAAAACATTAGAACTTACTCTTTCCCAGACAATTTATTCTTTGTAAACTGTTGCCTAATTTCAAAGGGACAAGCTCCAGGCCCTGCCTCAACCACAGACTTCGCCTCGACCTGAACTTCAGGTCCCACTTGGCTCTCATTCCCAGGAAGACAAGAAAGTTTTAATCTGCAGTCAATGTCCTGCCTCGCAGGCACATAAATGAGCCCCTCGCCGATCATCTCCCAGGATTCCTCGTCTTTCTTAAAATTGTGGCTCTTCGGTGCTGGATTTCTGTACCACCTGAACGTGGATTTGGATTTGAGGGTGTACATAGCATCGAAGGTTGAGGGATAGACTGGGAATCCCTCGAGGATGCAGAGGGGGAGCTCGAGGTCAGTGACCCAGGGAGCGTTGAAATTGATGACGTATTTTTCGTCGAAAATCGTGAGGAAGAGGTCACGGGGGTCGGCGATGACGCTGGCACAGGGCAACTCCAGCTCGACCTTGGTTTCCCCCTTGAGCAGCACTATTTTTCCCTCCCCCACGTTGTCCCGCTGCTCCGGGGACTCGCCGGTCTTCTTCGCCTTCTTACGCTTTTTCTTGTCGAGAACCTTCCCCAGGTTGAGGTCGAGCCTCTTGAGGAAGGCCTCCACGTTCTCGTTCACTCGACGAGACAGGTTGAATTGTCGGTCGATATTCAGGTCCGTCTGGGCGTACCGGAAGGTGAAGTCGAAGGTCTCGGTGCCCTCCACGTGCCACAAATATGCCTCGTGCATCTTGAACACCGGCTTGATGGAGTATTTGACGACGGGGGAGGGTCTGAGGGGCTTCAGCAGAGAGGTTAGCCACCTGGGTTTACAACGGCGCGAGAGGATCAACGCACTTGTCATCGTCTCTTCGCAGGATCGATTATTGAGCGAAGTTAATTTCTGAACAGCTTTTTTTTCAAGTCATTTTTGCAGGTTTCAAACACAATTTTCACTTTTTACACACGATTTTTCATGTCGATAGTTCTGCGGCGATATATCGGGGAGGCGACCACACGTGCGATGGTTTTCATCGATTTTTTTTTCAATATAGAATTATTTTCATTTTAAGGAATTTTTTTTTGCATTCATTTTTGCAAAATTTTCGAATTAGTTTTTTTAAATAATTTTTTATCGATCTTTCGAATATCGATATTTTTGGCGCGATACAGGCTTTCATCGCTCGCATCGCCTCGATTTTTATCGAAATTTTTTTCATATCGAATAGTTTAATTTTAAAATTTTTTTCTATTAATTTTTGCTAAATTTTCGAATATTACATTTTTAAAATAATATTTTTATCGATCTGTCGAATATCGATATTTTTGGCGCGATATAGGGTTTTATCGCTCGCATGCGTCGACTTTAATCGATATTTTTTTCATATCGAATAGTTTTTAATTTTAAGACGATAAAAAAGTTTAAAAAATTGAAAAAGTAAAAACAGTTGTCCCTCGTGACCGTCCCTGGGATCGATATATCGCCCTATCAACTCCTCACGCGACGCTCCCATTCGATTAGTGTCGAGATATTTTCAATCTCGCACAATTTTCTCTCTAATTGTTAATCAACTTAATTTCCTTCTTTCCAATCGAATTCAATATTTTCTCAAATACCTCCGCAACATCGATATTTCTCCGTTCGATATGTCGGCCTATCGACCCCTCCCGCGACCGTCCAATCGATTTCCATCTCTCGACGCCCCTCCCCCGACAAATCCAATATGGCGTCATCGCTCGCGCCTCACAGATGACGCCACGCTCCGAGAAACGCTGAAATCGAGGTGAATTACCCTAAGAGTCCTCCAAGGACGTCAACAATCGATGACACTCGTAACGTGCTGCATTCCCGTCGGCTTTTCACTCCCCAAGCCCCGAAAATTCAGCAATCAATTGCATGAAGCGCATAATTCCGAGTCTCGCGTCCCGTCCCTCCCGCCCACGTCTCTAATCCCTCGGCTCCCCGCGAATCAGTCGCCGGGAACAGCTGCTGAGCCGACAATTCCCACCGAAAAGTGTTTGTCAAAAAGTTTTTTGTTATTTTCCACCGTTTCCAAGAGTCGAAGAAAATTGGCGCGCGCACGCCGAGTTGTTTCCTGTCACCTGTGTGTGTGTGTGTGCCGCCGGGTTTTTCACGCCGATGTCGTGACGTTTGAACGATCCAGTGAACAGTTGATAAGTTTACAGTTTTGTGCTCATCATTATTGCTGCACGTGCAGCGGTGTCACCCCATGGACTTGATTTTCACCTGAAAATCCAGGAAACAGTGACGGAACTGCGGAGGAGAGAAGGCCAAGTCCCACTCGGAGCGAATGGCTGACCAAGGAAAAATGTGAGTTCATTCATTTATTTTCTCGCTAATTCCCCCGTATTTTTCTCATCTAAAAAATCCGTCAACATCTGATCTCCGGCTCCTTCTGCTCGTCTTGGGGGGGGGGTCTATCCCCTGATGACGTACGCAGGGGAGGTTTGACCGAAAAAATTTTTTTTTTCGCTTTCGGCGAAGGAAATGCAGGAAAATTTTGGAAATTAGAGCCTCATTTTTTTTTAGAATTTTATTTCCTCCGCTGGGGTATTTGTTTAGGAATTCGATGCGACACATTTTTGCAGATTAGTTTTGCGCAGAACGCGACGTTATCGACTCTCGTTTTATTCTAATTAATGGGGGTTTTATTGCTCTGTATATTAGGGATCAATGCGTGCCCCGTTTTTATTGTCGTCCGCCTTGAGCACTTTGATATGGATTTTTTTCTCGCTTTGTTTAATGTTTGAGGAGTGGAAATGAAAGGCTGTGGAGGGACGTTCGGGGGAATCGATAATCCAGATAGAGCCCGAACAATTCGCAGATTGACACAGTATTTTTTTTGTTGATTTTTTTTATAGCAGATGGGGAAATCGATAGGCCAGGGGAGGGTTTTGAGAGGAGAAAAGCGAATTGCAAATGTTAATAGGTTATTTGGAATTGAGGGGCTTCCGACAGTTGACTCCAATTGGCGGATGGGAGAGGATTTTTTTTATTGGTTGAACTGTTTTTTTATGATGAGTGATTTTTGGGAATTTTGAATGGGAATTTAGGAACAAATGTCAGGATTTTTGAAAAAACTGTAATATTTTTGGGAATTTTTCACTGGAATGGAGCTGTCTAGTGAAAAATTCAATGAAGAATTGTAATTTTTAACGGAATTGTTGTTTTTTAGAATTTAATCTACATCGTTAGACTATTTGAAGTAAATCTGGCATTATTTTTAAGACAATTTTGACTATTGATCAGTTTTCAATGAATATCTCGGAATCTAAGGGAGATAGCAAAATTTTTGTTATAACCTTTTTTGTAGAGCCGATTGAGAGCTAAAACAAATGTGATTATGAAAATTTCGCTATCTCCCTTAGATTCGGAAATATTCCTCAAAAATCCAACAGAGATGAGTCGACTTAAACCGCTTTATCACTTCGCTACTGAATCATTCCCCTTTTCAAATGATAATTTATTTCGACAGTAAATGAAAATTGTTATCTTCCACCCACTAAAAATCACTCAACCATATCTGAACACCAAAACCAAATTTAATTACTCTCTAAAAATTTAAAAACAACAGTAAAAAGTCAGTAAAAAAATTCATAAGATTAATTCCCAATGATTCTAACAGAGAAAAGAATTCCAACAGAACAAATTACAACTAACAATCAACATCTTTAGACTTTTGTTATTAAAACAATTTTATGATGAAATGCAAGGGAATGTTGTTCAATTTTTCTGGCAAAAATCAATTATTCCCTTTTTCAAATGAGAATTTATTTCGACAGTGAATAAAAATAATTGCTCTCCCACCCACTAAAAATCAATAAACCCGATTTGAATACTAAAAACAAATTAAATACTTCGATTGCTATCACCCCTTTCACCACGGTTATCACTTGACACGAGATGATGTGAGGGCAAGGTCAACCATAGTGTCTTTGCGCAACACACAGGCGTAGGAACGTTGCGGTGTGGATTCAAGACGTATCAAACAGTATTGTTTCGTGTATACAGATGTCGGGGGAATAATCGGAACTATGTCGGGCCATCGATTCGATGTGGGTTATAGGGTGGAGTGTAGAGTAAAGCCTGAGTCAAACCCCAGTTACAAATAATTCACCCAGAGGCAAGTGCACTGGGAGCTAGACTAGGCTAGGGGTAACTGCCTGGATATGATGGTGGCCCGATTATTATTTTTTTCCTCTAGTTTCTCGTATTTTTCCTTGTACGTGGCCGGGGCCATTCCCGAGCCACTGACAGTTGCTCGTTGCTTATCTAGTGGTGATGGGTACACTGGATACATGACTCCATTGTTTGAACAGCACACAGTGGACAGCACGAGTGCACTGAAGAGTATTTTTAAGGCTTGAGACGTGGATTTTATGGTATTTGTTGGGACAGAATTGGAATTTCACTGAATTTATTTGAAGGGAGTAAAGTTCGGGAGTTATTGAACAATTGAGTTAATTAAATTGTTGTCAGCTTGAATAATTGCAATTTTTGACTATTTTCATTCAGTTGATTGGCATTCGATTGAAAGAAAATTGAATTTTTTAAAACTTCTCTTTAATTCATTAGTCCCTGTTATTTTATAAAGGACTTTGTTTTATTTGTTCCTCCTAAGGAATCGTTTGTTCGTCGTTTGTTCGCCCTGAAAACACTGCTATCAGCTTGAATAACTAAAATTTTTGACTATTTTCATTCAATTTATTATCAATCAATTAAAAAAAAGAAATTCTTGCAATTATTCAGGTGTTTTAGCACGAATAAACGACGAACTAACGATTCGTTAAGGAACAAATGAAACGAATTCTTTTTTATTACAAAGCTTCCATTCGGAAGCAAAAAAATTAATTTAAAAACTATCTACTTAACGCAAATAACCAAAGGCCGTGACTATTCGCACCATTACGTGAATCACTCCCGTACACTCCATACACTCCACGCATGCGTGAAGTTTGTGTGTTTCACGCAGCCGAATTTTCATACTGCTGTGTATTTCACGCAGTTGAAGTTTCATACTACTGTGTGTTTCACGCAGTTGAATTTTTATACA